AAAGCACACATTTGAAATTATGTTTACTTGTAAATAACAACATACCTCAAAACCTACCATATTAAAGTAAGTCCATTTCTGAGAATCGGGAATTTGAGAGTACCTTACTTGGGTGGCCAGAAGCCTGAGAATCTTTGTAGCTGTTGCCAAGAAGCCTCAGTTCTTCATCATGGGAGCCTTCCTGTGGGGCTGGTCAAATGTATTCACATCACCACTGCTGTTGTGGGTGATGAATATTGTTATCAAATTATCTTTTAGTTAAATAGTGGTTATTCCTAAACTAGTTGTATACCCAAATCACCATACAGTGACTAGGATTTATTTAATTAATCTAGAGTAACTATAGCTGGGCAATAGTTACTCTCTCTTAAACCTCTAAGCCTGCATAGTTTCCTACCATTCAGATTTCACCCATTATCCTTGCTTTTAGTCATATCTTAGGTCCAGTTTATCTCTCCTCATGGTTCCAAATCCTATCCTGCTGATGTCTCCTCTCCTACTTGTCCTCCCACTCCCTTCCTTCTCCTCCCCTCCAGACCAGGATGTCCCACCCTGTTCTCTCCATTGCACAGCACTGGCTGGTTGTTTAACTTACAATATAGAGAACAAATGGTAGCATCTTTACACAAACATGAGACAGGTGATGATGAGAATAAGCATCACAATGCAATGTCCAGATTGAAACCAGATAGCAGGATAGAGAAATGAGCATTTGAATGAACAAGGGTAAATTGTATACAATCCATAAGAACATTCTACCAGCACACTGGTTTCCCCTAGGGAGAGACTGCAGTGACTTCGTCCCTTACCCTCTAGAGTAACCACGCTGTACTTCTGCTTTATTCTGCTCACTGAGGTACTCCCCTGCTTCCACCTTGTCAGTGCTGGGTTTACAGGCCTGTTTGTCACCACCCTGGTATGTGGTGCTGGGAATGGAACCAGGGCCTAGTGCATGCTAGGCCAGCACTCACCTCCTGAGCCACATCCCCGGCTTATTCTGCTTAGAAGTGCCTAAGGAGAAGGGGTGGAGCCTTTGCAATAGCAAAGAACTCTGTTCTCTAACCTTTGTGGTAAGTTGTTTACCTTCTTCCATCTGCACACAACCGCTCCTGAAAACATCAGCTTGACTCAGAAGGTTGACCTGGAAATCTGGTCCAGATAAGCTCTTTAAAGAGAGCTATTTCCTAAGTGTAACTCTTTCTAGCTATAGGAAAAATAGGACGTGCAGGATGTTTGCAGGCTAATGCTAAAAAAATAAAAAAGAAAAGAAAAGAAAGAACTGCTGGTGTACAGCTTCCTAAAATGCACCTGGACCCAGGTTAGCAGTTCCTTAATTAAAACTCACATCCCAGGAATTGCCTTCACATCTTGACATTGCCTTCTCAGTTGGTCGCCCTTTCTGTTGAAAGGCAACCCTGTGGGTAGCTCGTTTTCTCAGCCTGTGGAGGTTTGGGAGTAGGGAAATCCTTCATTTCATATTAATCCTTTCCTTTTTTTTTTTTTTAAGTCTGTAATTAATTTTGTTTGTTGCCCTTTGAGTCATGTTGCACTCAGTGTATAAGACAAAGCTGTCCCAGGATTTGTGCAGAGGTCAGCTCTTCTCTGCTTTTGCCTCCTTCTGGGACAGCTGGAGGACAAGTGCCTTGGCTCCCATGGCTGACTTTAAGATTTTACCGTCACTCCCTTAGCGTCCTCTTTAGATTTGGCTTTCTCGACTATGCCTTAGATTTGACTCTTGCCTGTAAGCCATTTATAATCTTATCACGGTGTGCCATCTGGCTGAGAATTTTCAGAAGCAGCAAGTTCTGGCTTGATTTTATTTAACAGTGCTTTATTTAACTTCTCTCTGTTCGCTTTTATTTTACTGCAACCAATAGCTCCTTCAAACCCCTTCAGATCACCTTAGCTAGGCCACCTAATTCTTGAGGGATGTTTTCTACTTTCCCTGTTATGAAGGGTGCTCACAAGTTCACTCATCTGATTGTTGAGAAACCCCACAGAAACAGACAGACACATACAAACACAGACAGACAGACACACACACACAGAGGGGGAGACAGACACACACACAGACAAAGAGAGGGAAAGACAGACAGACACAAACACACACAGAGAAACAGAGAGAGAGGTAACATCACAGTATCATGAAACCTACCCAGAAATGCAGCATGATGTTCATGGTCATCTGCTCATCACAAGTGAGCTTATACTTGAGAGAGAAACAAAGTTCCTTCTTCCTTGAAGGAGAGATCTGAGGGAGTTTCTGAATATGTTTCAAAATCACCAGTAAAGCACAGAACATAACTTCACTGAAGCAGGATCTCATTCTGTAGTTCAGATGGCCCGCAGGTTGCAGGCCTCCTGCCTTCACCTCCCTGGAATTGCAGACATGCACCGCCATGCCCAGCTCAGAACAGGAATTCTTTGCTACAGTTCCCAGCCTTACATGGCCAGTTCTTGGCCATCCATCACATGACACTGGTTTATGGTAGACCCTTTGCTCGCTGCATTCACCACTTCAGGCCTAGGACAGGCTCATCCCCAAAGCCTCTCACCCCTCAGTTTCTGTTCTTTAAAATACATTATTTCCTGCTGTTGTCAGCCTGCTACTATAAATTGCAGTTTCTCAGAGAAGAAAGAATAGAGAATTTCAGGTGGCTTCATGGGCACAATATTGTATGTTACATTTTTGCACAACACATACATTAAAATTATTTCTCCACCACTGTGTTCCTCCATATTTTCTCATTTTTTAGAATTTTACTTTACCAATGGAATATATGTTTTATGTGATTGAATTGCTTATCTATACTGCAGACATTAGAGGTAGGATTGGCTGTCTCAATCACTCATACATCCTGTTTTAATTACTTTTCTATTGCTCTGAAGAGACACCATGACCAAAGCAACTCTTACAAAAGAAAATATTTAATTGGGGCTGGCTGACAGTTTCATAGGGTTATTCAATGGTTATCATGACAGGAACTGGGCAAGGATGACCTACCTTCTGCAGTAAGGCCACACCTCCTACTTCCAAACCGTTCACCAACTGGGCTAGCATGCGAATATATGAGCCTATGGGGCCATTCTCATTCAAAACACCACACATCCTGAGGACTTGGAATGCAATAGATACTAAGCCTTTGTTGGAAAATAATAATGTAGATGAAAACAGTTCGTGCAAGGGCTTAGGAGGCAGAGCTCAGTCTGGGAGCATGCTACACCACCAGCTTAAGGACCTGTGTTTGGATCCCAGCCCCCTGTGTATGCAGTGACACACATCCAGAATCCCTGTGCTGTGGAAGATGCTGGAGACAGTGGGATCCTGGAAGCTCACTGGCCAGCTAGTCTAGTTGAAGAATACTCTGGGCTCACTGAAATACCCTGTCTTCAAAAAAAAGGTGGAGAGTCATTGAGGAAGATATACAAAAGCAGCCTCTGACCTCAACACACACATTCACACATGTGTATGTGTGAACACATGAACACATACTCAAAAATAAAAGAAATGTAGGGGCATTCAGTACATCTCTCTGCATCACTTGGCTCATCCCTAATGGTGATGGCAACCCCAAGGTTGAAATTTCGACATTTCTATTAATTCTAAGCTCTTAACATCTTAATTTAAAAACTTCTTGGTACTCAGCCACGGTCGCTCACCCCTGTAATCCCAGCACTTGGGGAGGCAGAAGCAGGCAGATCATTGTGAGTTCAAGGCCAGCCTGGTCTACAAACTGAGTCCAGGACAGCCAAGGCTACACAGAGAAACCATGTCTTGAAAACAATCAAAATAAAACAAAACAAAAAGTACTTGGTACAGAATGCTATCCTCTTATACTCCATTTTAGGTCTTTTTAAATTTTAAGTTTTACTTTATGTGTAAGGATATTTTCTCGCATGTATGTTTGTGCACCATTCGTGTATTGGTAGCCACAGAAGCGAGGAGAAGGTATTGGGTCCCCGCAGGCTAGGGCTATAGACAGGTGGGAGCTGCCATGTGGGTGCTGGAAAATGAACAGGGACCTCAGGAAGAGCAGCCAGTTCTGTTAACCACTGAGCCCTTTCTCCAGTATTTTATTTGGGTCTTTGTTTTCATTTCATATAAATTATTTCAAAATGAAACTCAGTATACATTTTCTAGTTGGTATCTATTTTTCTTTCTCTCTTTTTCTCTTTCTCTCTTTCTTTCTTTCTTTCTTTCTTTCTTTCTTTCTTTCTTTCTTTCTTTCTTTTCTTTCTTTTTTTGAGACAAGTTCTTACTTTTTAACCCTGGCTGTCCTGGAACTCGATCTGTGGACTAGGCTGCCTCACAGAGATCTGCCTGCTTCTGCCTCCCAAGTTCTGGGATTAAAGGCTTGTGCCACCACCACCCAGCTTCATCTAATATTTTTAAATAAGTATTTTGCATGTGAGTATTACACATGTGTTATTTTTCTGAGATGTTTTACAGATTTTCATTTGTTTTATGGTCTATACATCACCCTTTATATTTTATGTTAGAGTTTAAAACCAAATGATGAAACTCTTGGCGTTTCATGTACTTTGGGGCTGCTGCTAAACAAAACTGGGCTGTGCCACCTTTATGGCACAAGTACTGTTTCGTACACCCTGCCTGCTTAGTGAACAGTGGGGGTTGGAATGCAATGAGAGGTGTCTTTACTCAAAGCAGCTTGAGTGGAAACTGAGGAAACTATGAGTGCTGGGAACCTGTGTTTTGCCCTGTCCCGCTCTTATGTCTTTAAGATTTGTTGGGCCGCCTGGAGAGTATCTGGAACTGTGTGTCCTAGATAAGTGCCCTCAGGTGAACTCACAATCACAATTAATAGAAGCATTGTCCTGAGAAATGAAGCAAGATGCTGCCTGGCTGTGACGTCTAAAGCTATTGATCTAGTCTCTTGCATTCGTCTCATATACTGGGTTTAATTTTCTCTGCTTTTGTGAGAGCTTTCTCTTTTTTAAAGTATTGAAATATAAGTTGTTTCAATTTTTTTTATTTTTAGATTACTACACTTATTAACCATAAAGATAATACCAAAAAGTCTGATAAAACTCTGCAGGCAATTCAGCGTGTGGGACAAGCTGTCAATGTGGCAGTTGGAAGATTTGTTAAAGTAGGAGAAGCTATAGCTAATGAAAACTGGGACTTGAAAGAAGAAATTACTATTGCCTGCATTGAAGCTAAACAAGCAGGTATGTGAGTATTTATCTACCTTTGTTTGTTTGCTTGCTTGCTTTTTTTTTTTTTAGGAGACAAGGTAACTTTTGTTATGTAATCCTTGCTGACCTGGAACTCTCTGTGGTCAAGGCTGTCCTTTGAATTCAGAGATCCAACTGGCTCTGCCTCTGCCAAGCCTTGTGCTACCACACCCAGCTCATTTCCTTTTTGAGGCATATCTCAGTACCTAGCCCAGGCTGCCCTCAAGTTTATTGGAAATCCTCCTGCCTCAGTCCCCTGAGTGCTGGCATTATGGGTGTGTGTCACCATGCCATAGTTATTTGAAAGACTACTTATACCAATTTCATTATTCTGGATATTGTGGTGGTAATATTTTTATTTATTTATTTTAAGACAGTCTTACTATGTAGCCTGGTTGTTCTGGAACTCATTGTGTAAACCAGGTTGGCTTTAACTTGGAGTGATCCTCCTGCCTCTGGTCCTAAGTGATAGGATTACGGGTACAGTGTATGTACCACTACACCCAAAAAAACTTAGGGAGGTTTGTTTGTTTTCTACAGTGCAAGCTTCCACCAAGCTACATCCCTGATAAAATACTTTAGTTTTGCTTTGAGTTAGGCTATCCAGCTGGGAGGTGGTGATACACACCTTTAATCCCAGGGCTCAGAGCGAGTTCCAGGACAACCAGAGCTAAAATAGAGAAACCCTGTCTCGAAATAAGGTATTCTAGAACATTAATGAGCTTTGTTGGGCTTCTCTTGACTTCAGTTTTATGCCTGAAACATAGGATTCATTCACTGGTTAGAAGAGGGGCATGCCATGCTGACCATTAGCCTCTGAGATGGGCGATTTACAGAAGGGAGGTTGAGAGAGCCATAAGAATGAAGGTAGGAAGATTTCCTATGAAGTATTTACATGCAACAGCTAAGCACAGGCAATGGGATAGAGTTACAGAGAACAGAATACGTGGTGAGGTCTACTTGATGAGCAGATAGAAAGGGGTTGTTAATTAGAGGAACCTGAGGACTCTGGCTTGACTCTTGGGCTTCTAGCCATTTGTTGGTTTAGGACACAGCTTTATGTGGAAAGCAGAGGAGATGGCCTTACCTTATTTGTAGTTTATATTTTTTTCAACATGAAAAAGGATTTGAAATGGGTTATAATAAAAGACATGTTAAATAAATCTGTTAAAATAAGAGGAAAAATATGCCAGAATCTTTAGCAAAGATGAATATTTAATTGTACTTCCTGGAAAGCAAGAGAAAAATGTGAGAAACAAAGGGTTACATAATCCTCATTGTTCACTGAGAGGAAACAAACCAGTTTGTAAGAGGAGAGTCCTATTTTCCTGGCACCACATTATTTTGTGGGCACCTCTACAGCATGTTACAGAATACAGTGGACAATGCAGAGAGAGCAGAAAGACCTTCTCTAGTTGTTCTGTTAGGCCCAGCATGAGCCTAATTTTAAGAAAGGTATGAAGAGAAACCGGGAGACTAATCATCGATGCAAAATCGCAAGAGGTTTATTTTGACCATTGCACAATGGGGTCACCCCTGTTGGTTAGCAAGGAGTGGCCTTAGGTTTTTAAAAGACAAAGCATGGGAAATTCTAGGGATTGCAATCTTGGCAATTCAGGATTGGATTAGGTATTTAACTTTTAAAATAATTGGTTGGTTCTGGGCACCCTTAGGTCTGGTCAGCCCTGTCGTAAATATCTGGGGAATATCTGATCTTTAAGTCAGCTTGGAATTTCCTGCCATATGAAATATAGCCACAATTAAGGGTGGGAGAGTGATTAACTCATCCCATGTCTGTTCTGAGGAGTGGGGGTTACAGGCTTTGGATAAAAGGTTAGGAGCTATTCAGGAGAAGGATTGGGCCATTTGGTTCAGTTTCCAAAGTTTGTCTCACAGGCGCTGGACAGTGATTTTCTCTCCACCTAGTAGAGATCTCTGCTTGTTCTCTTCCTTATCTCTGCCCTCACAGATGGCTAATGTCAGGAACTTTTACATTCCTCTGTTCTCTGGAGAAGCACTAAGAGGCTTTAATTAACATGGGCAAAGCTTGAAAATATAAGTTGTAAGGCAATTAAAAGAAACATAGGTTACAAAGTTAGTCTGATTCTTTCAGTTCCTGGTAACAGCCATTGCTGAAAGCCCAGGGTGGGGGTGGAGCAGGATTTACAGGGAAAGAGCAGCATGAAGTCCTATGCCTCCTTAACTTTGTCGCCCTGTGCTCGGTCAAGGGGCTGCCAGCCCCAGCCAAGGACCAGGCAGGTCCCCTCTGTGGGCATGAGCCTCGCACATGTCTCTTCTAAGCTGACTGAAGTGCCTTTCACTCTATGAGAAGGCTCCTACCCCTACCTGTGAGCCTCCTGAAGTTGCATTATAGGGAAGCGTCACCCTCCAGATAGACTGAAGACTGAGGACTTGATGTGAGCCACTCCTGAAGGCTTTCTGGCTCAGTCAGCCCTAACGGCCATTTTTTCCCAGGCAGTTTGCATGTGCTTGAGGGAAAGAAGAGGAAGCAGTGATCAAGACCTAGAGCTTTAGTGTTGACTGCTTAGAGTCCAGGCTCGTCTGCTCCCTCAGGCAGAGGGACACTGGACAAGCCTCAGTGTTCTCATTTGTGGAGGCATTGCTATATGATGTGTGTGCATTTGGTGCGAAGAAATGTTCAACAGATTTTAATGCTGTAATAATTGCATTTTTTTCCTCCTCTCAATTGAGCCTCTGTATTGTTTTTGACCAGCTATCAAGATTTAAATTTTATTCAGCAGCTCTGTAAACATTTTTGTTAGCGCACCTCAGAGTTTTCCCTCATTGCTTGTACTAAATTAGAAATGGCAACTGTGAGCCTGCAAGCTCTCTGCCTTTCTAAAGGCTTCTTAGCAGTCAGCTCTTGGAAGAGCTGTGAGGGGAAGGAGACCAGGGCTTACTGCCCACTGCCTGATTTGTTGAATGCCCAGGGTTCAGTCAGAAAAGGGACAGTTCAGCAATGCCATCTGCACAGGATCTTATTGTTGCCTTTGGTGGCTGAGAATGATAGGGAAAAAAAAAATACACATTTTCCAGAGGAACAGAGGAAATACCTTTTTTTTTTCCAGTTATTGCTGCTATAACACAAACTTAGCCATTTTCTCTGTTGTTTCTACCACAATAAAGGATAGTTCTGAGCACATTTGTCTTCTGTAGTTTTTGCCTTCAAAAACTTTGTAACACAAAAATTTTATTGCTGTGCAACAGGTTAACTATTGTTGTGCAGTGGAAGTGGCTTGTCTGGACAACTCTGGGTCAGCACATGTTTTGATGTTGGGTGAAGGTGTGTGTTAGGCCTTAGTGATTTGCAGGCTTTACTGTGCTGGAGGATGTGTTTTGCATGTTCCCAATGGCACTGGCAGACTTTACTTTCTGGTTGACTGTCACCAAGTGGATCTCTTTGTAGTAGGACTGCCTGTGACCTGGTACTTGGTTTTCCTCAGAGAGAGAGAGAAAACAAGTCTCAGTTTTTAAAATTTTATGTGTATGTGTATGTCTGTGTGTGTGTCTGTGTCTGTGTGTATTCACACATATGCTACAGTGCACGTGTGGAGCTTAGAGGACAACTCTTGGGAGTCAGTTCTCCTTATCATGGTTCTAGAGATTAAAGTCAGGGTATCAGGCTTGCATGACAGGTGATTTTGCCCACAGGCATCTCACTGGCGAGGATGTGATCACTTAATTTCAGAAGTGGCATACCGTCTCTTCTGCCTACCAACCTGAGGGAGAGAACAGCTGGCTGATGTAGGTACTAACAGGTAGAGCTCTCAGGGAGCCATCTTGGAGGCTGGCTACTGTAAATACTGATTTATTGGTAAAGCATCAGTTAGTTACCCGTATTGAGTGGCCTGTGTTTTGTGTATACCTTCCTGTATCATTTCAAATTTCTACTGTCTGAAACTAAATTTGTCATTTTTGTCCTAACTCTCTTTAAATGATTTGGTTTATAATTCTGAATTTTTTCTTCTTATCATTGGTTAGATACTAATTTTATATATTTTTTTCATATTGTCTCCCAAATCACTTTCTTCTTTATGTTCCTCTGGCTGCCATCTGCAACGTATCTTCATCTGTCCCCCTAATCCCCACAGCCACCCTGCTTTACCTCTATCTTTTCCAGTCTGTTCAATGTGTTTCCAATGACTGACCATTCTAAATATTGACTGTTTTATGTCCTGTGCTTTGTCTGAAAAGATTCTAATACTTTTTCCTTAAGATTTTTGTGCTAATGGCTGAGACATTATTGCATGTATATAATAAAATTAACAATAGGTCTTTTGTGAGAAACTCAGGCATTAGACATACATATTTTAGCACCCCAAAATTTATCTTAAGCAGAATTATTTTAAAAATACTGTTAACTATAACAATAAGGGGTTTTAGAGAATATCACATTGTATTAATTATTGCTAACACAACATGATGGGTTAGACCTCGTCCATAGTGGTGGAGTGAAGGCATGGTGGCAGTTGCTGGGAACTGGGGCCTTGCATCTTGAATGGCAAGCAGGAATTAGAGAGAGCGACCTAGTAACGGGGGATGTCTCAAGGACCGCCTATAGTGACACGCTTCCTCTGAAGCAGTGCCATCAGCAACTGGAGCTCTCATTCAAACCAGCACACAAAGTTTGCCCTCATCTTTTAGGAGAGCAAATGATTGTGTAGTGTTAATAGTAACTGTCCGCGAAGCTCCCATGCATGTTAGAGCGAAGATGGGAGAAAGTCTGCCTTTTTGTTTAAGAGTTTTAGTCTCAACATAATCTTTTCTCTTTCTTGTTAGGAGAAACAATCGCAGCACTCACAGATGTGGCCAAACTAAATCATCTGGAATCGGAGGGCCAGATCACAATTTTGACAGACAAAACAGGAGTTGTGCAGGCCGCCAGGCTGCTGCTGTCCTCGGTGACAAAGGTGTTGCTGCTGGCAGACCGGGTAGTCATCAAGCAGATAGTGACATCAAGAAACAAGGTACTCACTCTGGCCATGCTTGTGTCTCAGGTGGTTCAGAATGCTTGTTGAGGTGAAATCCTGATAATTTGACAATGCTTTTAATTACCTATTTTTAAAATATTTATTTATTTATGTATATGAGTGTTCTATGTTCGGGTGCATCTGTATGACAGAAGAGGGCATCAAATTCCACTACAGATGATTTTGAACCACCACGTGGTTTCTGGAAATTGAACTCAGGACCTCTGGAAGAATGACTGGTGCTCTTAACCATTGGCCATCTCTCCAGCCCCATTAAAAAGAATGTATTTTATACCTATCATCTCCAATTTACTGAGCCTAAACTCTTTATTTCTATTAAAAAATTGTATGTATATAAGCGTTTGCCTGAATGTAAATCTGTGTACCGTGTGCATGCCTGGTGCTCACAGAGGCTAGAAGAGGGCTTCTGGAGTTACAGATGCTTTGAGCTGTCATGTGGGTGCTAGGAATTGAACCTGGATCCTCTGGAAGAGCAGCCAGTGCTCTTAACCACTAAGCCAGCTCACCAGCCCCAGGCCTAAACTTTTAAATGCAAATAATGTTTCTCATTTAATAACAACGATAAAAATCTTGTTGAGGCTTAATGCCAAAAGCCTTAAATGTACAAAAATTTGGAAGACAATCGAAGCTGATGTGGTATGTGGCAGAGACCCAGTTAAAAATGATCCTTAACGCTTTAGTATTTCTTATCCAAATCAAATAGTAACAGTTTCTAAGCTAAAGACAAATGTAAGTCACGTGGGCTCTGGCTGTAGCCCAGTTGGTAGAGCGCTTGTCTAGCATGCAGTAAGGGCTGGGTTCAGTCCTCAGCACCACATAAAATGGAATGTGGTGATATATATCTGTAATCTCAGCACTTGGGAAGTGGAGGCAGGATGGTCAGGAGGTCAAGGCCAGCCTCAGGTACATTGAAGTTTGAGACCAGCCTGGGCTACATGAGACCCTGCCTAAAAAAAAAAATCTGAAACTATAATTATTCACAGCTACAAAGTTTCCATATGTTTCCATTAAGAGCCCTTAAATATTTCTGAAGAGTCGCAAAACTTAAAGAATGGACTTAAACTCTTCTCCTGTAGACCGTGGCTATGCTCCCCTCATTGGGAACCAAGTGCCTTTGCTTTCGGGGGATAATCCCCAATGTGAGGAGAAGGCAATCAAATCAGCCAGGGCAGAGGTGCATTCTCTCAGTAGGATCTGAGGCTAGCCCTGCAGTAGGATCTGAGGCTAGCCCTGCAGTAGGACCTGGGGTTAGCCTGCAGTAGAATCTGAAGGTAGCCCTGCAGTAGGATCTGAGGCTAGCCCTGTCCATGCCCCATCCTTATCATAAATGTTGAGTGAACCAAAAAGTAAAATTTTAAAGAGGAAAAAGAAATAAGAGAGAATGACAGAGGAAAGAAAGATTTTCCTGTCTTCTCTTATCTGTGGGAACTGCTTGTGTTTCCTGAGCTGCCTGTGCAGGTTAGCAGGCCAAATGCCCTCCCTAGACTCATTAAAAATGAGCAAACACAGGATATCAGTGTTTTTCTAACCTATCTTGGTCTGACCAAAACTCCGTAGTTACTGTAGAAAAAACTGTCAGAAAATGTGTTTCACATTTACTTACTGTATTTCTTTTGTCAAAGAAACGGCTTTTTCTGAGAGTTGTGCTGTGCACAGGTCCAATTCTGTTCGTTCCTGACTGCCTGAAGCTTCTTGGCAGTTGATTTATTCTATGCAGCAGCTCCGGACTGACATCAACTCTTTTCCAACTGTGAACTCCTAAACCACCTCCTTACTCCTCACTCTGTAGATTATCTCCCTTCCCTTTTTTTTTTAACTGGGGTTCCTCTAATTGTGGTTCAATGACTTGTACAGTTTCTGTTTTGTTTTGTATTTTTCTCCTCACTGTTTTCTTAGTTCTTGCTACTACCTTTTGTCAATTTTCTGTTGCTATGACAAAATACCTAAGGCTAGGTACTTTATAAAGAAAGGAGATTTACTTAGCTTCAGCCTCTGACTAGACAAATAGGTGAGCTCCAGATTTAGGACCTTGCCTCAGAAAATAAAGAGGACAGCAATTAGTGAATACACCTAAAGTCAAGCTCTGTCCTCCACATATGTTTACACATGTTCATCCAAACACATATTTGTTTACATACATGAATAGATGCACATATACCAATAATTAGTTCAAATGAAAAATGTTCAAGATCATCCTCAGTTCCATAAGGAGTTTGAGGTCAGCGTAGATTAGTGACTGTGTGCCAACAAAACAAAACAAAACAAAACAAAACAAAACAAAACAAAGAAACAAAAACTCCTGAGTACATGGAGCAAAATCTCATTCATGAAGTCAAGTGTAAAGAAGCAAAGAATGGGCAGAATTGCTGTTCCTGCTGTGCTCAGACATGGCTTTGAGTGTTTCCCTAGGTCCCTGTGCCGGGACCTTGGGCCCTAGTGTAGTCATGTGAGAGTTGGTGGAATCTTTACAAGGTGAGGTCTGTTAAAAGGCAGGTAAGTCATTGCAGGCATCGCCTCCAGAGCTGATTAATACAGCCTTCCAGAACCTCTTAAGAGTTACTATTATTAAAATTTAAGATTGACTGTGGGAGTGGGGGGACCTGTAATCTCATCTCTTGAGAGGATGAGGCAGGAGAATCACCATGAGTTCAGGACTAGACTATGGGGCTACGTAGAGAGTCTAAGGCCAGCCTGTCGCATTAAAAGACCCTACAGAAACCAGAGTCTACATTCAGGCAGAGACACGTCCTTGACTCCTTTAAGGGTTAATCAAATAGGGAAGGTCAGGGGCCTGCCTATGAGACCCCTAGAAAGGTGATTTGGTTTACCCAGGACAACATGCTTTCCCTTTTCAGAATTCTTTCCCCCTAGTACAGCCTTTAACCCCGAGGTTTACCTGCTTCTATGCTGGGTCTGCCTTTTCTTTTCACCTGCCTTTTTCTTGCAAATGCTTTTTAACTCCCTAAGCCCTATTTGTTCATTTTTTTTCCTTTGAATTTGTAAGTAAATCCACATCTCTTTATCCTAAAACCAAGTCATTTCTCTAATCGGTTCTAATCTTTGTTTATGTTTTAGAGGTCCTTCTCGTGTGTTTTCTTTTTTTCTCAGCTTTCCCATGGAATTTGGAGCTTCCCTGTTTCCCTTCACTCTCTGTTCAACTCTGGAAGTCTCAGTCTGTTTGTTTGTCGCCCAACAATACGTCGTGGGTATAAGCATGTGACAACAATGAAATACTTCCTGTTTTGCAGATTCTTGCCACCATGGAAAGGCTAGAGAAAGTACAGAGTTTCCAAGAATTTGTTCAAATATTCAGCCAGTTTGGAAATGAAATGGTGGAGTTTGCACATCTAACGGGAGACAGACAAAATGTATGTACTTATCAGTTAGAAAAGTCTTCATATAAACTCATACCTTTTAATTTGGATGGAATTGTGAGCTTTTAAATCACTTGAATTGACTTGTTTATTCACTACTTCTATGACCTTGCTCTTAAAATCCTTTCTAAGTAATCCAGTATGCGTAGTAGATTGATGAGTCTTTTTTTTTTTTTTTTTTTTTTTTTTTTGTATATATATATGGCAGTTAATAATGTTTGCAATGGAAATGGTCTGGCTGTGTGGAAGGCCCAACACGAGTGCTTTCCCTGTCATCAAATATTCCATGGGCTCTTCTGACATGGCTCAGGCAGATAAATTGAACTGGTATTTGTAATTTTAGAATATTTGATATATATTTGTTTACTTACCATACTAGATTAATATTAAGAACACATGCCATTATTCTATTTGCTCTGGCTATATTATGTTAGGTATTTAGTGAATATCATTGCATTTAATATTCAAAGCATCTCTACAAATTGGGTATTGTTATTAGTATTTTATGCATAAGAAAACCAAACTTGAGATGAAGGGCTTTTTTTCTAAGGTCACTGCTAATGGATAGAATTTGGTTAAGTCTATTCCTAACACCTATCATTCTTCAACTTTAACTTGGTGCCTATTCTTTGGGACCTGCTCCCCAATTCAGACCAATACTTCTACATCTGGGCACGTGGAAGACCACAGCATGTCTAGAATAGGCTCTTTCTGGTTGGGTTGTTTGCTTATGAATCCATCTTGACCTGTGGTACTGAGATGCCTCTAGGTGTCCTCTCCTAGGCCACTCCTTCAGTTTTGGACATGAGCTTTTCTGGTTGCAGCTACAGTTGGCAGATGGACATGGATCTGGAAAATGGCAGGCTGGGTAGCAGCATTTGTCTCTTAAAACAAAACAAAACAAACAAAACTGAGTGTATAGGTGCCTGGCAAGATAGTTGAGGTGCTTGCCCGATTTCACTCCCCAGGATCCACATGGTAGGAGGAAATAACTGATTCCTGCAAGTTGTCCTCTGACCCCTTCATGAATACTATGGCATATGCATGCGTATGCATGTGTGTGAGCACACATGGATATACACAGACACACATCCAAACACATGCATACTCGCAAATGCATGTGTTTGTACACTTTTGCACAAATAAATGTGCCAGTGCTATTTTTTAACTCTATTTTCTTTGGGGTTTCTTATGGCTCTACCGTCTTCTAACCCCCAACCCTAGGTAGAGGAGAAAGAAATTAGTGGAGAAGGGGTGTAGTTCTTTTTAGCTCCTTCCTGCTGGTTAGGGTCATTAGGTTCCTTGGGATGAGTCTAATCTTTGTTTCAGGATATCTCCAACTTCTCCTCACACTGCATCAACAGCAGCCAGGAGCAACAGGGAGGAGCACTAGCCTCCTTCTTCCTTGGAGCCCCTCTTCTCCCTGGACTCTGGCAGTTATTCCCTCTCCAGAGTCCTTAGGTTTAAACTATTTGCAGCTGGCAACAAGCCCCTCTCAGAGCCCACACAAGGCAAACACATTGCTGCTGTGGACAGTCTGAATCAGATCCATATTCTACACCTAGGATTAAAACAAAAACATATTTATGTTACATAACTGAGTTTTTTAAAGACATCAAAACTTCCACTACATAAATGTAGTATGAATTTTTAAAAGCTACCTGTGTAGCACCTTGTTTCATTTTCTGCTCTGCCACCATTATTCTTGAATACTTTTGTTCAATTTCTTTATCTTTTTCTCTCTTCATTTTCCCCCTTCACCCCCTCCATTCTTCCCCTATAAAGATTACTAGCCTAAGTATTTTTATGACCATTTATCATCTAACATTTTCTGCATCACTTGGGTGAATGTGGCATGACTGAGATTCCAAAGCTTGTTTTGCTGTTTTTGGCTGTGCTTCCTGCTGGCCACACAACTGGAAAACTTCCACTGTTATTTTGATTTGTAGTTAGAAATTTGGTATGGAGCCAGGATGGTGGCTCACTCCTGTAATCCCAGTACTTAGGGTTTTCTTTTTTCCCCTCTAAATGGAGCTTTGAGCATATCTATCTATCTATCTATCTATCTATCTATCTATCTATCTATCTATCTATCTATGTATCTATCTATTTATTTATGTTTGTTTGTTTGTTTGTTTGTTTGAAATAGGGTTTTTCTATGTTGTTTTGTCTGTCCTAGAACTTGCTACGTAGACCAGGCTGTCCTTGAACTTACAAGCATCCACCTGCCTCTTCCTCCCAAGTCATGGGCCATCACTGCTCTGCTCAGCACTTGTGATTCTAAGGGAGAAGGATCATCACGAGTTTAAGGTTAATCTAGGGTACCTAGTGACTTTTAGGGTAATCTGTGTAAGACCCTGCCTCAAAAGTCAAACCAGAAAATAAAATTGGTCTGGAGAATATTAGTACAGAGAATATTTCTATCCAGTTCAGTAGGACTATGGTCAAATCTTTTAAAACTTGTATACTAAACTTGTACACTTTGGCTGAAGAGTAGCCCTGGCTGCCCTGTAACTCACCGTATAGATCAGGCTATCTTTAAACTCATAGAGATCTTTCTGCTCTCTGCTTCCCCAGTACTGGGATTAAAGGCATGCGCCACCACACCACCCACAGAGTGCTTGGTAAGTGCACTGCCTGGCTTGCTTTCTTAGTATTTGCATCAGGAGTTCAAGACCTTTATTCCTTAATTTGGTCAGTATCCTGAAAATAGCCACCAGCTAGCTCCTTTCTCCATACCCAGATTGTCATGACTTACTTTTGGGCATTGGGGATATAACAGTAAAGAAGCCAAAGCCTCTGCCCCGGGGAGCTTCTACTTTAGGGGGAACAGGAGGAGGCAGGCAAGCGATCTCAGAGAGGGAAACCATGGGTGAAGGGTGTGACCATTTATTTTCACCGAAGCAGAGATGGTTTAGAAAACATTCTCATCTCTCTGAACAGTGTGACTGGCTTTTTGGATGTTACTGTTGAGTGAATGGTTTTTCAAAAGACCAAGTTGCTTATATGATCTTAGACTGCCCTGTGATTGGATTTCATCTCCAGGATTTGAAGGATGAGAAGAAGAAGGCCAGAATGGCAGTAGCGCGGACTGTGCTTGAGAAGGGTACCATGATGCTACTCACGGCTTCAAAGGTAGGAGCCTCTGGTCTGTGCTGCTCACGCTAGCACACAACGAGAAAACACCTGAGCAAAGGCACCAAATGTGGCACATTCACATTTCTGTTTCATTTAAACTGAGGACTAAACTCAGTACCTTGTGCCTGCTAAGCATGTAGTCTACTAATGAGCCTCACTTCAGCCCTCAGTTCTGGAGAGATGAAAATAGTAACTTACAACCAAGACTACTGCCCTTCCTGCCTCAGCTTCCGAATCTGAGCCCACTTTGATTCAGCAGCTCAGCAGAAGAGAGTGGATCGACTTCTGCAAACAGAGCTGCCAGGCACTGCCCCTCATTGCAGGCCTTGCCAGGCCATGGGATCTAGCAAAAGCTGAGCAAGGCAAGACTGGCTAAGTAGAACTTGTGAGGTGTGTAGAATGAAGCTCCTGTTGGTTTCTTCCACGAATTTGTGGCCTCTTCTTTCTGCTACTATTTTTATGAAATGATGGGCCCAAAGAGTGTGTTCTCAAACAGCAATTGGTATAGTTCAGGGATGGTAAACATCTCCATTTGTAGAGTTTGTAGAGAATTGCCTTTTCTTCTGCGAGTATTTACTGATGTGCTGGGATTAGCAAAGCCACAAAAGCAGAGACAGAACCCTCTGTTCGTATCTAGAACCTGGAGTAGATCTTAATTCACATCACATTTTAGAAGTGAAAGATGCCGCCACAGTCATCTGGCACCTTGTTCAGTTTCCCCCATTCTTTCTCATTCTTGCTTGTGCGAGGCAGCACTGTACAAAACAGGCTTAAGCATGATAAAGACGTTGGGCTTTTCTATCACTGAAATCAAGATGAACATAATGTTGATGTCTGAAGATGCAACTTTGCTCTCTGATCATTCACTTAACCTTGCTGTCACTTTTTACTCATCCTGCTTCCACACTAGTGAGGAGAGGCTGCTGGGGGAGCCAGGGGCCCAGGAGATTTGGGTAAAGAACCATTTTTATTAGCATGGCATGCTCTCTGTGATTTTACTGTTATGATAAGAGTTATTACTAAAATAAAACCCTCAACTGCTCTAAAGACGTGTCTCAGGCATCCCAGCTGTGACTCCGCCCATAAAAACAAAGAAGGAGTGTTTGACCGGATGAGGGTAGCCCTGGAGAAGGTCATTGAGATCGTGACTGACTGCAAACCCAACGGAGAGACTGACAGCTCCTCCAGCATTTTTACTGGGATTAAAGAATTGAAGGTAAGAATACATAGTAATTTCTGCTTGCTTTTTTTTTTTTTTTTTAATTTAAGAGAGCATCCTTATGTATAGTGTCCATATTTTGGGTAAGGATTTAGAGTGGTTCTTCTGGGGGCTGGAGAGATGTCTCACTGGCTTAGAGTGCTGGATACTTTGAAGAGGAGCTTCAAAGTTAGTTTCCTAGTGTCCAAGTCAGGTGAATCCCAACTGCATGTTACTCCAGGGAATTTGACACACTCTTTTCTTCCCTGGTACCCATACTCATGTGCCACCCCTCCCCCTACCATACACATAATTAAAACAAAGTTGCTCTTCACAGAAAGCAACATATCTCAGGGGCTGGAAAGGTGGCTCAGTGGTTGAGAGCACAGGCTGCTCTTGCAGAGCACCGGTTCATTTGCTGTCACCCACATGGTAGCTCACAGCTGCCTGTAACTCCAGTCCCAGGAGCTCTGCTGCCCTTTTCTGGCCTCCATAGGCACCAGGCATGCACACGGTGCACATATGTACATACAAGCAAATCACTCATATATTTCTTAAATCAAATATATTTCTTTAATGTAATGCTATTCTGTGGAAACCTAACAGTAAGGAGTACGGGCTCAGAGTTATGTTGACAGACAGCACAGGTCTTTGGAGCAGCGGACTCGTTGAGCTGCTGCTTTAGTTGGACCCCTCTATCTAGAAGCACAAGCAGCAGGATGCTCGCAAGCAGCGCAGTCTCTGTCGGGGTCCCTGCCCTTCTTGTGTGATCGAGACTCTATAGAATAACAGCATTGCCACTGCCGCCACTGCCATCGCCACCACTGCCATCGCCACCACTGCCATCGCCGCCACTGCCATCACCGCCACTGCCATCGCCACCACTGCCGCCGCCGCCGCCGCCGCCGCTGCCACTGCCACTACCGCCACCAATTACAGCCCTACAGTAAATCCTACTAACGTTTGGAGTGCTCCCTCTGTGCCAGTTCCGTCCGAGACCTTTAGACGTGTGGACTCCTGGAGTCCTCACCAGTACTGTTGTCATTCGTGCTGCTAGGGAGGTGAAGAGGCAGAGATGAGAGGAGATTGCTGCCTCAGTACCAGAGCTGAGATTTGAATCCAAGACATCTGACTTCACATCAGGAGGGCCCTATGGCGTTTTCTACCTCAGTGCCCCCATTTTCCGAATGGGAAAACCAAGGCCCTGCAATATTACCTGATATGCTAATGGTTACACACCCATGAAAAGCAGGGCTGAGATGGGCATGGTGTTCTTTCTGTCTCACTGCCCCTTGCCCTTGTGTGAAGATCGAGGTCAGAGCAGGGAATTGTTTTCCCTGCTGACCATTGCATGAGGAGGCACGCCTGAGGTGGGACCCAGCCATGTATCTCAGGCTGATCTCACACTGCAATCCGCTTGTCTCAGCTTCATGAGTCCTGGGATTACAGGCATGGAGTATGATGACTGCCTTGATACAGGTTCTTTTTGATGGAGAAATAATCTATAGAGAGAAATGTAGTACTTTCTTTTGTTTGGTATTGTGAATAAATATACATGTCTTATGTAAACAGAGTTCAGTAGCCTTCAAAAGACCAATATAACTCCAAGTTGTGTTTAAACACACACACACACAGAGAGAGAGGGAGAGAGAGAGAGAGAGAGAGAGAGAGAGAGAGATGGCCTAAAATAAAAATAACAATCAATAATATAAGTGATGTGAGTTGCACATGATTAACTTAGTTTCAGTTCTTCAGATTCTCAGGTCGTCATTACCTGTCCTTGTTAACTTAAAAAAGTTACCACCTTTATTTCTTCATGTGTGTGTCTGTGTGTGCACTACTATGTGTGGACATCAGATGACAGCATGTAGGCGTCAGTTCTCTCCTTTCTGGAGATTGAACTCAGGTCATCACATCAGGCTTGGTGGCATCAGTCTTACCTACTGAGCCATTCAACAGCCTCTATTCATGTTCTTTTTTTAAAACTAAAAAGAAAATTACTCAGGATGGAGTGATTATTGGACACAACTCAGGCCGAGAATAAGGGCAACATTCACTTTGTCTATGGTATCTTGACTTTCCTAAGGTGGTATTTCATAGACCATGTTAAAATGGGGCCCATGTAAGGGTTAACTTGAAACAACTGGTAGGACTTTAAAGTGCAAGGTCTACGTGAGTGCATTCATTAATTGTGATCACAGTCGTGATCATTACTACTTTTTGTCCCCTAGTCCAAGGTGTCTCTTTAACATATTTAGTGGGCTAGAGGTTGCAGTGGCATATATATGTCAAGAAAAAAAGATTTCACAACTGAGTCCATTATACATTCAAGGAGCTTTACATATGGGGCAGGTGAAGCAAGGGAACCCTTAGAGTCTTCAGTGAGTAGATGGGCTGCTAGGGTATTGAATGAAAGGTAGGCCGGAGAAACTTTTCTGCTAGATGTTAGCCCTTGATTCTGGAGCTGGAGAGGACTCATGTGGCATTGTTAGGTTTACAGCTGAGAAAGGTGAAACAACCTTCCCAGGAGAGGATGTTGGTGTCAACGTGTGCTGTTGGGGACATAAATCAAAATACAGAATCAGTTAGGTGACTGGGAGAGTCTGCTGGGTGGGAAGGCAGACTTGGCGCTCTTTCTAGCCCACCTCACCCTCTGTCCACCTGCTGTGGCTTAACACATATTCTCACCTGAAGGCAGACTTCTTTGGGACTGTGTCTGGGCATTTTCTCCAGCTGCAGATACTTCACCCGGAGTCTGGTTTGTTATTTCTACCAATTCTACAGACCGGTACTTTTTCTGCCTTTGAATTTTCTGATCTCCTGGGAAGGTCATTGTATTAACAGCTCTTGAAGCAAGGCCTTGCATGGCCATTGATGACTCCTGAACAAAGTGCTCTCCCAGATAACTGGAGAATATATGACCAATCCTCCTATGCCTGGAAAAAGACTTGTTAGCACATCTCTGGGACACTGTTAGAACCTGGAGTTCATTTGGGGGATATTTACATGGATGCCTGCTCCTTTTGCTCTCAGTTGAATATTGAAGCTCTTCGTGAGAATCTTTACTTTGAGTCCAAAGAGAACCTTTCTGCTGCATTGGAGGTCATCTTAGAGCGTGTGGAGGACTTCACTGACTCTGCCTATACCAGCCATGAGCACAGGGAGCGAATCTTGGAGCTGTCTGTTCAGGCAAGAACAGAACTGCAGCAGTTCATTTCCGTGTGGATGCAAGCGGTAAGGAATGTGTTTATTAGAGTAAACCTTAAGTAGCTTTTCACTTAACGATTAGAGAGATATGGAAGGTAATACAACCAGCAGGATTATGAATTTGGTCAGTGCAGGGCAAGCATACATTATCCCTTTTCTCCATTTCAGTGGGCAAAATATGCCTTCCCTATAGTTCACAGAATTTGCCAGGCTATTGCCAGGTTGTTGATCCTCCCCTTGGCCAGGCTGCATTCTATGCTATCATTGCCATCTATAGTTTCCCTGTTACCTTCACTCTCCTGACAAACTCACTCCTGGAAAATACTTTCCCAAATGCTTCTTTAGTGTGGAGACCAAAGGAATAAACCTTTTGGAGGTCCTTGAAGCATGAATCTGCTGCTGGTGACATTCAGTTGTGTACTGTGTGTAACTCTGAGCACAGCTGATATACGGATGATGTTTTAGAATGCCCACTGAGGTCTAGAGGCAATGAAGATCAGGGTAGACCCAGATGGCAGGTAGAAGTCGATCAGTCTCCCACAGATTCCTGGACTAAATCAGCCAGCAGCCACTTAAGAGCCCTGAATGGCATGCTTTCAACAGCAGGGTGAACAAAAGCTAGAGAAGACCACACAGGAAGTTTGTCCCAAGTCTCATACCAGGGGATTGTGGAAGGGGACTAGGGGGTGGTTTGAGGCATGTTCTGGAAACTTTTTATATATTTTTTAACCCTGGGCTAAGTCACGAAATATTTAAAGTAGCTCACAGCACACAGGTCAGATGGGTGGAATGAATCTGGATAATAATGAATGAAAGTTTTGAACCAGGCACAGTGGTGCACACCTGTAATCCTAGTACTCTGGGAAGGCAGAGTCAGGCGGATCTCTGTGAATTGGAGGCCAGCCTGGTCTACAAAGTGAGTCCAAGACAGCCAACAGAGAAACCTTGTCTTGAAAACAAGCCAAATCAAACAAACAAAAATTTTGGCATTAAGGAGGAAGATGGTGTGAGATTTAGAAGAAGGCAGCAGCAGTTAACTCCATGGTAGCTATGTTGATTTGTACATAAAGAGTAGAGAGAAGTCACCCATTTGGGGGATATTTCCTGCACTGCACATGGCCTGCTCTCTGGAAGTCTTGCCATAATTGAATGTTATCAGACATGTGGGCAATGCCTGGTGTTTGGAGTGTGTGTGTACTATGTAGTATGAAGAGGAGGCTGCTTTAGTGGTAGGTCCTTGACATGGAATACTAAGTTTCTTGTGATGATATGTGCTCAGTGTGGAGATGTGATTTTATTACTGCTAGCTCTGGAGCTGACAGTCTTCCCATATGCCTTGGCTCCCTGGTCTGTCTGCTTGCTGTGCTTTCTATTATGTTCTCCTACAGTTGTGGCTGAATGCCTTCTACCTGTAGGTGCCAGAAGCCTAAAGAGAACTAAGATAGTCTTTGCCCACCATAACTTTGCAATATAGAAAAATGAGGGATGAGGTGTGACAAGGACACAAAGAAACCATCTTAAGTTTCTTGATAGATGCTATGCTGAGGGAACTACAGGGAGTGAAGTTAGAATTAGGGAAATAACTCTAGAAGGCTCCCAGAAGGCATTGGGATTAAAATGTGCCACAATTTGTAGTGACTACTGAACTGGGACAACAGGTTAAAAAGGTAAAGTGACCTCTGTGTATTCTTCTCAAAATTTCAGCAGAGCAGGAAGACAAAGAGTGCTGCCGAGGAGCTGGAGCTCACCATTCTGAAGCTCAGCCACAGCCTCCACGAGCTGAGGAAAGAAGTAAGGAATCTGACCCATGGTCTCCTGCTGTAGGATGTGTGTGAAGCACGCGTGCATTAGTGTGTTCCTGTGCCTACACAATGCCCGACTTTACCGCTCTGTGATGTCACTTATGAACACTATTCTCAAAGCTCACACATGAACAGGCATAGCAGCCTTATTCACAATAGCTGGGAACCACCTAGATAGCCGTCAACAAGGCTCATTGATAGGTGACTTGAGGCTAGCTCTACCAAATACTATCTGGCAACAGGGCAGTTAGATGGCTCAGAAGCCACACCATGCACCAAGTCAAAGAACCAGGCATGGAAGAGTGAGCAAGCATGTGCTTTCATTTAGAAAAAAAAAAAAAAAAAAAAAGTCTAGGTAAGGAGAATTAGAGATTTTGAGATATTTACTGCAAAGGGTCAGAGGTGGCTTTTTTGGAGGCGTGAAGATGTTTGAAATATTCAATGTGGAGGTAGTTCTATGGCTTGTGAGTCTGTAAGACTCATCAGACTGTACCTTTAAACAGGGAACATTTCATGCCTCATTGAAGTGAGAGTTTTTTAAATGTCCTTGAGTTGAGGAGATTTCCTTGTTCCGGGATGAAAACGTGCTCATCCGTGGCCGACTTGGGCCCTTAGAGTTGGAAGTCCTTTGGTCGCTTCTCAGCCTGGTTTGTTCATCCTGCCACGCAGCACTGTCTGGGAACACGCTGTGAGCACTGGTCTCTCTCTGTGACACGCCGCTGGGCAGCTGCCTGCAAGGCCTGCATACTTGCTGTCTGGCCCTTTGCAGAGATGCTCAAGCCAGGGTTTGTCCTCAGTGAAAGAATCTGAGCATTCCATCCAGGTCGCCCTCCCATTTTTCATGTGGCTGACCCCCTAGTACCCCATCTCCTGCTCATGTTCATGGATCATGGGGTCTCTTTCCTTTGTCATTCCTCTGTGCTGTGGCTGCTGATACTGATTTTTGCTGTGGTGCAAGTAAAAGAAATTGAGAGTGGAAACTTTCTGTGCCCTTATGTGCAGTAGTTTGAGCCAGTTTTTGTTGCTGTTTGATTTTGCAGTTCTGGGAATTGAGTCTTTCACATGCTAGGGAAGTGCTCTACCTCTGAGCTGTTGCCCAGTGACAGGCTTGCCACACTATGGCCTTGCACCCTAGATATAGTATGCTGACCTCTCTTATGGATGCCTTTTAGAGGTTTTTCAGTTCTGTGTCCCTACACCTCAATACTGCAACTCCCATAGCAAATTGTTCCCTCCAGACCCTCCTCACAAAAACTCTCCTCACCCTTGTCTCTACTTTGTTTTTTATTATTATTATTATTATTATTATTATTATTATTATTATTATTTGTGCTTTTGAAGCTGGTCCAAGTCTCTGGAGGGTGAAGTTGGTTTAAGAAAGTAAATTTTAATGTCTTTCTGCCTGTGATTATTCTGCCTTGGTTGATAAATGCAGACAGCTCCACTGTTTATCTCACACAAAGCCCTTCCTGTCATTTGAATTGAGATCCAGTTACCTCCAGGAAAAAAAGAAATTGCTTCATTCTAAAAGGCTTAATTCAATGTCAGAGTTTCCTTAAAATAATGCTTTTATTATAACATACCTTTTGGGGGTGGAGACAAATCCCAATCACCTGCCATGTAATTTGAGCGTGTACACACACACACACACACACACACACACACACACACACACACACACACGCATTCCTGCACACACACACACGTGTGCATCAGGTGAGAGCTGAAAATGAAGCCCACCTGTATCAAGCACAACTTGAGGACTATGTTACCCTTTTTTGCTGTTTCTGCCAGAACCCACACGGTTCTTGGAGAGTAGAGCTCTGGGGAACAACTACACACAGAATGTTACCTTCTGAGGGCAGGCGTCAGGTCCTGGGTGCTAGCCTCTCCAAGTTGCTGTCATGATGTGGGTGTTTAATAGGATTCTACCCAGTCCCCTACTGGCTGGCTCTCACAGGGATGCTTTTTCAGAATGTACTAAAGTAATGTAAAGTCTGGAAATTGAAATGAGGCTTTGTACACATTAGGGAGCTGCTCTGCCACTGACCTGCTCACTCCAAGTGTTGATTTTCCTCTTTGTTTTCTTGTTTGTTTTTAAAGCTTTATTTATTTATTATTTATACAGTGTTTTGTCTGCATGTGTGCCTACATGCCTGGACAGGACAACCAGAGCTCATTATAGATGAGTTAGTGGCTCATATGAGTGGTTGCTGGGACTTGAGCAGCCACTGCTCTTAACCTCCGAGCCATCTCTCCAGCCCTCTCTTCATTTTCTTTCTTTCTTTATTAAAAACTGGGAATTAAATCCAGGTTTTGATTGAGCTATATGACTAGTCCCCCTAAAAAACTGCTTAATTTTTATAGGGCCACTATTAGATTATAGTAGTCTGAACACCGAAGTTTTTTTAACATTGAAAACAATTTTATGTCTATGGCTGTTTTGCCTTCATGTATATCTAGGCACCAAATGTGTGCCTGGTCCTTGAAGAGGCCAGAAGCAGGAGTCAGATTCCCTGGGACTGGATTTACAGATGGTTGTAAGCTGCCATGTAGCTGCTGGGAATTGAACCCAGATCCTCTGGAAGAGCAGACAGTGCTTTTAACCACTGAGCCAGCTCTCCAGCCCTTGAACAGTAAGCTCTTAATATTGTTCCACTTCTCACCATCTTTGTTGATAGCAGAAGCATGTTCAACTAGGACAGAAGCCTTGTGGGGGAGACCCAGCTGGTAGAACGAAGAAGGACCCAGGCTTCTCCACCACTGATTGGCCAGGGTGTCTTCACACAGCAGTCTGCTGCCAGCAGCTACTTGGGTCAACAGAGGTCACCCTGCTGTGAGGAGGAACACATGCTTCCCAGTGCTCCAGGCTTCTGTAACCACAGGGGTGTTTTGTTTTGAGAAATGAGGTGCAATGCTTTGAGTTTCTCTTCTGTTATTAAAGCTCTTCCCAGGTGCTGGGTCACAAGCCTTTTTTTGTTTATTTTTCTGCCCTGATCTCCTTCACTCTCACCTTCAGCTTCATAGTACAGCCATGCAGCTGGCAGCTGACCTGTTAAAATTCCATGCTGATCATGCGGTTTTAAAAGCATTAAAAGTTACTGGAGTAGAAGGAAATTTGGAAGCTTTGGCTGAATACGCTTGCAAACTCTCTGAGCAGAAAGAACAGCTTGTTGAGGTGAGTAATAGATTTGCTTATTAAACAAACTGTAGTTTACAATGCCATAGCAAAAATATGAGAAAATATTATCATACAGTTTTTGACTAGCTTATCTGAGTACTTCCCTCTCTTGTCTTTGTAATCTGAAAGGTATGACATGTGTCTACCCCGTTCTTAAAATAGCTCTAAAACAAAACAGTATTATGTGCTAGGACTCCTAAATACTCTTTTAAATCTTCTTTTCTTTGTCTTCTCAGATTAGACTCTGGGGTAGTGCAGTGGAGTAACACAGTTTCTGTTTGACTCTGGTGAAATCTCAACAAGAAAGAAGAAGTTAGAGTGCATGACAGGTGCTTAGCAAGAGAGCTGGTGCAAAGGCAGCAGTCGGGAGCTTTAATGTGCTGCAGTGAGTGGAGCCAGTGATACCAGAGCCAGGCCAAGGTAGCAGGGGAGGCAGAACCCGAGAGTCCATAGACCAGACACAGATGGCCCGAGGTGACCTAATAAACACCAACAACAAAAGAGCATTTCTTTCCTTTCCATTTACCAAACATGCCTCTGCACAACCCAAGTTAGCCTCCTGAGGCAGAAAGCAGATTTGAGAAGGGAAGAGACAGGATAAGGGGAGGCAGTGGGAAGACATGCTGTCCCTCCCCTGCTCTGCTCCAACCTTGTAGTGTGAGTCACCTGCCACTCGTAGTATAATTCCAGTTCATCTTAATTGATATTCTAATTCTTCTACCTATTGAAAATATTACCATGTGTTGCTAGCTTACAGAGAGAGGGAAAAAGAGGGGAAGGGAGAGGGAGGGAGACTCATCATACATATATATGTGAGATCTATTTGGCCCATGTCTTAGGGTTCTATTGCTGTGAAGAGACACCATGGCCACAGCAACTCTAATAAGGGAAAACATTTAATGGGGGCTGGCTTACAGCTTCAAAGGTTTAGTCTGTTATCATCATGACAGGAAGCCTGGAGGTACATAGGCAGACATGGTGCTGGAGAGGTAGCTGAGAGTTCTCCATTTTGATCCACAGGCTGTAGGAAGAAACGGTGAAACAGAGTAAGCCTGGTTTGAACTTCTGAGACCTCAAAGCCTGCCCCTAGTGACAACCTTTCTCTAACAAAGCCACACCTACTGCAGCAAGGCCCCACCTCCCAATAGTGCCAGTCTTTATGAGCCTACGGGGCCATTTTCATTCAAAGAATGAAATACACGGTGCATATAAATACAGTCTTCACATTATCATATACCATGCTCAACAATCCTCAAAGGTGATGTTACTATTGAGCCTGGCTGCCTGTCTTTTACTTGTCTATACAGAAGCCTGGAAAGCTCTAGGGAACATTCTCAAAGTGGCTATTTATTTCCTTTATTTAATAGATTTTCTTCTGCTCTTTGTATAAATCTAACTTTAGGGAGAAAGAGAACTAACTTTAGGAAACTAACTTTAGGAACTAAAGTTAGAGAAACTAAACTAACTTTAGGAACTAAAGTTAGAGAAACTAAACTAACTTTAGGAACTAAAGTTAGAGAAACTAAACTAACTTTAGGAACTAAAGTTAGAGAAACTAAACTAACTTTAGGAACTATAGTTAGAGAAACTAAACTAACTTTAGGAACTAAAGTTAGAGAAACTAACTTTAGGAAACTTATAACCAAGCTTTTAAACAGTAAAACAAAATCAAAAATTTCCCTTTGATGTTTACTGATTTTTCTCTAAAGGAGGCTTCCTGCTTCTTTATAACTGGTCTGCCTAATCCAATGCTCTCTCAGAGAAGAAAGGTGTGCACATCTAATTTGTCCTGAGGAGAAGTATCAGTTCTGAGAAAATGGTAGCTCATGATAATTGACAGTTCAGCATCAGGACTCTGGAGCCAGGCACAGCAAATGCATGTGCTCTATTAGACCTTTTAAAGCTTCCTGTGGTTCTAGCATCTCGTGACCACCTTGTCTACTTCAGATAGAAAGCAGAAACATTACACTATGCCCATGTCTGTTCCTGCTTTGGCCCTCAGTCATGTACAGATTCATTCTTGGGTTTGTGAACTTCATTTTCTGTATTAGAGGGATGAGGGTGTGGAAGGTGAGCTGTAGACATGCTTTTTTGCAGACGTGTCGATTGTTGCGGCATGTATCTGGAACAGAACCCCTGGAAATAACCTGTGTACATGCAGAGGAGACATTTCAGGTGACTGGCCAACAGGTATGGCAACATCAGGTTATTCTTTCTCTATCACGTGTTATTATTTAACTGTGTAACAGACTGTGAGGAAGCAAGCAGAAAGGTCTGCATCAGTGGATGCCAGATCTGCCAACAGGAAGGAAGACACTGGAATTTTATTGGTACTGTACTAATTAGAACATGACTGCCATTCCATTGGACCATCTGGTTTCTGCCAGGCTGGAAATTGGCTCATTTAACTGAAATGCTAGATTATATCTATTTTAAATGAAGCTGTTTACAATACAGGTCACTTTAATATGCTTGCAAATAAAGATATAAGTATGTAACAAGCCACAAAAGTATAGTTCAGCTTAATAATTCCTAAGGACATTGATTTAAAAACCAGGACCACCTGGATGGCTCAGTGGGTAAAGGCACTTGCTGATAAGCCTGATGACATCCCCAGGACCCACATGGTGGAAAGAGAGAACCAACCCTGCACTCGTCCTCTGACCTCCATATAATGCCACCCTGTGTGCACACCACACACACATAAAGTTAATAAATAAAAATATAAAACAAGGGCTGGAGAGATCGCTCAGTGGTTAACAGCACTGTATGTGCTCTTCCCAGCACCCACATGGCAGCTCACAACTGTCTGTAATGCTGATTCCAAGGGATCTGACACCCTCACACTAATGAACATAAATTAAAATTAAATAAATGAAAAATACATAAAACAAAACAGAAACAATCTCTACATCCATGTTAGCTTCTAAACAAGCTAACATGCATTCTATTGAATGCATAATAACCATCTCAAGTTAGGCAGATAACAAATTATGCTATTAAAATAATGACTGATAATCAGACTTGGCAATGCCAAAATTCATCAGTAAAGACCTAATGTCCAGTATGATTCCAAGGGCCAAGATTTTAAAGATCACACCTGTGTGCTCCTTTAGATCATATCTGCTGCTGAAACATTGACGCTGCATCCGTCTAGCAAAATTGCTAAGGAAAACCTGGATGTGTTTTGTGAAGCTTGGGAATCTCAGATCAGTGATATGGCGACACTGCTAAGAGAAATCAGTGACGTGTTTGAAGGAAGACGAGGTAAGAAACGGTCCATCTGCTGAAGTATGTTTTCTCAGCTTTTATTTATGCATTATTTTAATATAACTGTGTTATTATTTTATTTTGTTTTAATATTAAGCCTTGGATACAAAATTAATTATCTTGTTATAGCCCTGCTGTTATTTTAATATTAAAGTGTCTTTCATAAAAATAATGACAAAAATATCTAATTGTTTTAGTATCTAATCAATAAAGGTTATTAGACTATAGAGAGGTAGATATCTAAACTGGCATTTCATACTGAAGTCAAGCCAGCTTTTGGTTCCCTTTACTTTTTTTTTTTAGTTTTAGTACAAAAGCTCTTGTACAATACAAAAATTCTCTAATTCTACTGATTTCATAATGAAATGAATGTACTTACTTGACTTTTGAAATGCCTTCCTTCTGCTCGAGTGGAATGTCTTTCCTTGATGACTACGTAAGCTTGGGATATTGCCCGTGGGGGGTAAGTTCGCTGGCATTTGCACACCATGTAAAGTGGCGCTGTATGGTGGATGGGAAGGCACTGTCATCCTCTTTATGTCAATGTCAGCCGCCACTTTTGTTTGCTGCTCACAACCCTGTGTCTTATGATTTATGTTTATGAGTCTGTCTGTACGCATAGATTTTTTTTTTCTTTTAATGGCTTCCATTAGCATTAAAGCATGACTTCTTAAAGATAAAATGTTGTGGGCATGGTGGCCCACACCTGTAATTGATCCGAACACTTTGGGAGACAGAGGCAGGTGGATCTCTGTGAGTTCAAGGCCAACCTGGTCTACTAACCAGGACATCCAGGGCTACACAGAGAAACCCTGTCCCGAAAAACCAAAATAAATAAAATAAAATAAAATAAAATAAAATAAAATAAAATAAAATAAAATGTTACTTAAAGTCATAACATCAAATTAAATATTTTTATTGGAAATGAGTACTTATTTTATGTTAAGAAGTAGGCACATTAGATAAATGTTGGTTGTCTTGAAAATTAGGGAATACTATATCATTGCGCTCCTTCCATGCCCCAGAGCCAGCAAGTACACCTTCATCTAACGTTGACTGAATCTCTTTCTGAAAGTCGTGTTCCTCCCTCTGTGCTGGTAACTCGACTGAGGGCCCGAGCTGCCTATCTCTGTGTGTCTGGGATCTTCACAGTTTCCGGGCCATGGTGTTTGACCAACACTGTGGCCTGTCTTTTATTTGCCTAAAAAAAGTAATTTAAAATAATCTTCCCCCCTCCCTTTTTTTTTTGAGACAGGGTTTCTCTGTGTAGCCTTGGCTGTGCTGGACCCACTTTGTAGACCAGGCTAGCCTCGAACTCACAGAGATCCACTTGCCTCTGATTTCCAGAGTGCTGGGATTAAAGGCGAGTGCCACTGCCACACGGCTTACCTTTTCCTCTCTTATGCTGGGCCAAATTTCCAGTGGAAATTAGAATGGTAAAAGTAGCCTGAAGCAGAGTTACTCATAAACCTCTGTGTACAGAATATAATAAACATGGTCTTTGACAGGTTTGCAATTATACTAATACAGGCATACAAACAACAGCAGCTGCTGTCTATAAAGGATTTACTGTGCTGGGTCCTTTGGTAAATGCCAGATGTGGATTTTATCACATTTAATCTTCGTATTAACCCACGAGGCAGATAATCTCTCTGGAGTTTATTAATGGTGAAGTAGAAGTTTAAAGGAGCCAGTATGTCAGTGTCCGACAGTAAGTGAGTAGTGGAGAGTTAAATTCTTACCAAGTCTGAGTGATGCCGGGGGGTGAAGTTTTCTCAGCATCTCACACTTGTTAGTAGGGCAGTTAAACTACCTTGGCTCTAACAGAGTCTAGTGGGAATGAATGAACTGACAAATGCTCACAAGTCTACTCTGCGCTTTCTTTCTAAATCCATTGCAGAAGGCTGGGGAGATTTCAGTCCATGCAAAGAACAGAGAGCAAGGAACAAGTAATTGAGGGTCAGGATGGAGCCTTGGATTAGTTTTCCACTTGGTCGCGGAGGGTAGGCTGTTAATGTGGGTCCTACACACATTACCTCGCCCCTTGAGTTGCCCTTTCTTTGGACATCATGCTTGCAATGTGTTATTTTTGTTTGTTTGTTTGTTTGTTGTTTCTTATTTTTGTACCATTGTACAAGTCATTTTACCTTTATCTCTCAGGTTCCCCCTTTAATGCAAGAAGTGAGGGTAGGCAAATGTATGGTGTGAGTGCTGCTGGGCTGGGCTTAGTGCCTCACACCTTTAATTTCAGCAGTTGGGAGGCAGCCTGGTCTACAGAGCAAGTTTCAGGATAGCCAAGGCTACACAGAGAAACCCTGCCCAAAAAAAACTAAACCAAAAAATTGCTGATGTATGGTGCTGGAAAGATGGCTTGACGTCAAGAGCACTGGCAGCTCCTCTATAGGACCCTGGTTCAATTCCAGCATCCACATCATGGCTCACAACCATCTGTAACTCCAGTCCTAGGGAATCCCATCTTCTCTTCTGGCACATGTACGGTGCACAGACATACATGAAGACAAAGCACTCACAGACATGAAAACAAACAAGTGAATATTCTTTTAAATCGAAGACTCATGCTGCTGAGGTGTTCAGATACATGACCCTATTGTCCTTACCGCTATCTGCTCTGGACAGGCTAGGATTAAAGCAGGAAGTGTCTGTACATGGCCTTGGAGAGCATGGTCACTGGTTTCTTTTATTTTTATGTTGGATTAGCAAATGTATAAAAACCTAAACATCACCGGGATTTACCAGGTAACAAATACTGCAGGTGGATGGTAATGGTGGCAGAGTAGCTTCTGCAAAAGCTCTTTCCAGAGTGTTTATTTCTCTCCACATTGTAGATTTTTTTTCCAACTCTGTTGTATCTGAGAGATCTAAGGGCCATGGGAACAGTGCCTGTGTCACCCCTTTTGGGAAGCAAAATGTGAGCATTTCAGGGTTGTGGCAGGTTAGATAATACAAGATAACTCAGCTGGTCACGCCCAAGTAACCATTATACCCTCTTCCTGGTGCAAGACAATTTTTAGGGGTATGAAGATAAGATTCATGAGGACTTCCTATTCCAGCTATAAATGTTGAGATTACAAGTGACCCAAAGATCACTGTAATTCAGTCATTTTTGTGTTAGAGACCAGCCGCAAGGCATGAGAACAGTTTCTTCCTCAGGGAGCTTTCCTGTCTTCATAGTTCCAAGGCCAGAAAACCATTAATATCATTCCATTGCAATTCTAGCATTATAAAGACCTGATTCAAATGCTGGTTTTTACATGTTTTAATACCTGGTCCTTCACAGCAATTCATCTTGTAGATCAGCTTCACCCAAAGGGATAGAATGAGAGTTGCATTTATGATAGGATGGCACTGGTCAGCACAAGAGAAAATTTACAGGTGAAGTTTGTTTTAGGAATGGAGTTTTATTTAATATATTGTTCCCAAAATATTGTCACTTCATGGGTGATGTTGCTTACTTAGTCTGTTTGCCTGGGCATTGCACACAGGGTATATGACTGTGCCTGCTTGTAAATCCCAGTCTCAGGTGCGGAGGCAGGAAAATCAAGTTCCGGGCTACGTGGTGAGTTGGAGGTCAGCTGAGCTACATGAGGCTTTGTCTTAGAAGCAGTCATCATTCAATCTAAAATCAATATTGTGTTATAGCTGAATATATCCCCCTTTCCCTAAAAAGAAGGCCTGTTGCCAGTGGAGCTGCTGAAATGACTGCCAAGCCATTTCACCTGGTCACCTACCAGAAGGAGGGAACCAATTCCCACAAGTTTTTCTCTGACTTCCGAATGCACATAGACATGCATGTACACTCACAGAGTAGAAAAACGTTTAAGAAAAGGAAGGAAGGAAGGAGGGAGGGAGGGAAGGAGGGAAGGAAGGAAGGAAGGAAAGAAGAAAAAAAAGAAGGCAAAGAAGGCATAATTACCAGGCTGGGCTGTAGTTTAGTTGTATAGTGCACGCTTTGTTTGTGCAAGGCCTGGGTTTAATCCTTAGTACCAAAAGGAAGAACAACAAGTCAAAAACAACTAAAAATCTCAGAGATTACTCGTCAAATCTTTAAAAAAATATAAAAATATATATTTATTTTATTCTTACAACTAAAATACTCTGTTAAATCAAGATGGCCACTAAATGTCTTATGGTTTCTATTGCTGTGGGAAATACTGTCACCAAAAGTAACCTGTCAAAGTGACCAAAAATAAAAAACCAGGACACTCTAAGAATTGGCTTTTTTCCTCCCCACCACTAAAATGTTAATGGTAAGCCAGCATGGTAATCTGTGTGACTTTGAGGCTAGCCTGGTCTATAGAGCAAATTCCAGGACAGCCAGGCAGTTATACAAAGAAACCCTGTCTTGAAAAACCTAAAATAATGATGATGATGATGATGATGATGATGATGATGATGATGATGATGATGCTGCTGCTGCTGCTGCTGCTGCTGCTAAGTGTATTTGAAAAGTAGCAACATGGGTGAATGCAGCTTTCTAATCTTGATTCATTGTGCTATTTGATTTGTTTTTTAAAAAATTTATTGTTTTACAAATCTTATCTTAAATTCTTGCTTACGATATCACAGACTAGCTTTATAAAACAAAATCATTATCCATTGTAAACTTATCTGCAAACCAGAAAGAGCAGAAAGAGCAAGGGGATGAAATGGACATTGCAGATTGCCTTCCTTCGCTGTTATCAGCTTTAAGCTGCTTGTCAACTCACAGCCCCCGGACTAGTGTGCTTTATTTCCTTCTCCTGTCTGATGGGCTTGTCCCTTCCTTGAGGGAGAATACCATAAGAGGCTAGTTAGATGATGGGATTTGCTATGTGAAGGAAGGGAAGAAGAATTGGTGCTGGTCCCGATGAGAAGATTCTGTTTGTGGAAGTAGCAGGCTGCTGTAAGCACCTTTCTGAATGAGGCTGCCTAGAAATGGAAGTCAATCCCAATGATGTATTTTGCTTTTCATTTTCCCTTTATTTGGGGGTGAGCTCTGGTATTGTAGGCGCCTTAGAGATGCAGGTGTTGACAGTCCTTTATGTCTGCAAACCAAGTCATGCTGTCACAGAATTGATATCTTGATTATCACAACTAATGTTGTAATAATTCTTGTTTACTATTGTAAAAGTTAAATGTCAGTAACAAAACTGTCAGTAGCAAGTTTTTAAGTAATGTATGTTATTTGTAGGAGAGAAGTATGACCATCTTTCACTTCCAAAGCCCCCGGTAAGTACAAGAACTCTGCATGCTTCAAATGCTTATTTTCAGAATTTAAATTACATTCCTTTGCCTATTGCTGTCTCTCTCCCTCAGCTACGTGCAAAAGTTAGGATAGTAAGTGCTCACTCTTCAGAGTATTCCACTACTCTGGGCACAGCCTCCATGGGACCTGCACTCTTAAGAATCCTCCTTAGCTTTGGTGGTTCAGAGAATAATGGAATCTATGAAGTGGAAAGTGGCTTTATTTTCCATTATCTTTGGTTTAATTTGCAAAGTAGTGTTAGAATTATTTTCTGTATATTAAGACATTCATTGCCAGACTTGGTAGCATACACCTTTAATCCAGAATTTGGGAACAGGATCTGTAAATTAGAGGACAGCCTGGTCACAAAACAGGCCTTGAGAAAGAAAATAAAGAGTAATAAATAAGCTGGACAATGGTCCTAAGATCCCTTTTAGGAACTAAAATTTCTATCCTTTGGCTGATAGTCTTTTAACATCTTATTTTCAATGAAATGTTTTCGTGATCTCAACGATTCATTTGTAGATAACATTATGCCATTTATAATTAGGAATATAATGGAGGATATTTAGAAAATAGAGACTACGGAAAAACATCTTTTCTCACGAGGACTAGTCTTTGAAAACAATCAAGGACCCTGATACCCAGACTTCAGAAGTGAGTGTGGGGAAACAGCAAACAAATAAAACCTGACTGTAAAAATAGTTTCTCAGAGAAGAAATCATGGCAGATGAGAGGGTGAAGGACTTAAACTACAGCCAGCATGAAGTTGCGGCCATTTCTCCAGTCAGAGAAAGGGAGCTCTTTGGTGTCGTAGATACGGCAGGTCAAATGAGACAGATGTGTTGGGTCATCAAGCACTCCTTGATCGGCTCCTGCTGGCTCAGTGTTATACTGGGCCCTGGGTGGGAAAGGTGCTGAATGATGAACCACACGGGTAAGGAGCTGAAAGATACCATTTGTGTGTATTTCTGTTGTCTAGAACTGTCTGTTCTGAATTTGATAATTAAAAAAAATATGTGATTCATTACATCAATGAAAAAGACAGAATGGTCTTTCAGGCACAAATGTAATTAAAAAGACATGTTTGAAGTTGATTTTATATCATATTTAACCCCAGTGTTTCCCAAACATTATCATTTTACCCCTCAATTGGAACTGTGGAAAATGTTTTATCCTCTTTGTCATCTCAAGTCTTCAAAATCTGGGGTGTGTTTTACACATATAACATTCTAATTCAGACTGGCCACATTGTGGCTAACAGCTGCTATATTAGATAGTACATATTTAATTTTATATCAAAAGAAAATGAAGAGAGGAGAGATAATCTATTAATTGTTACTAGTAACAGAGGTAGTGAGCACATGGTAAATATCAGAAAACAGTACGAAGAGGAGCAAGACAGTTAATAACATTTTCATGTCCAGGCAATAGTAATGGCGTGGGGATGGCTGGTAGAGGACAAGAGGCCAGATGACCAATCAAATCCTCAGGCTTTCAAAAGGACAGATGGGTTGCTGAGATGGCTTAGTGGTTGAGAGTGCATACTGCTCTTTTAGAGGACTTAGGTTGGTTCCCATTACCAGGTAGGGTGGCTCACAAGCCCCTGTAACTGTAGCCTAGGAGTATCAGACACCCACTTATGGACACTGTGGGCACTTGTGTGTGTACACAGGCATACACACACAAACACAAACCATGGTTTGATGCTGAGATATTTTTGTAAATTGAATACAGGTAGAAGAAAAACAACTATCAAACTGTGAAATTATTTTCTGAATTTTTGAGAAAGTTATCTGTGCCTTAATTTATCACCAACACAGTTTGAAAGTTTTATCTACTCTTTAGTTTTAGTCTGCCTTGAAGCCAGTAGAGGATACTAATTAATATGCTGCTGTATTCAGTCAAATAAAGATAAGTTGATTGTTTTCAGTGCTGTAGGTTGGGGCTCCTACAAAACAGTTTTGGATAAGAAGACATGTAGCTAGGCATGAAAGTGAACACCTGCATCACTTGGAAGTCTGAGGCAGGAGGATTATGGATTTGATGTCAGCCTGGGCTGTAAGACAGATTCCCAAAGAAACAAACAGGGAAAAAGCAACAGCAACAAAACAAGAAAAGAGAGTGTCCTCATGCTGGGGCTCACAGAAAAAACATGTGCCTCATGTGCACAGGTGGTGGGGGAGGGGCTCCATCTCAGAGCCTTGAGAAAAGAAGGCAGAAAACAGAAACATCACAGACCTTAATGGAAGGGAGATTTTTATTGAACTTAGTGGATCCCCCAATCTTTCAAAATATGAACCATTTTCTAAGTTGGATGTAGCACAGCTAATTCTAGCTCTTTCAGAAACTGTAGCTCCATTTTTAGGGAGCAAACTTGGAGCCTTGTGCTATTTGTATTTGGAAATCTTCAGGTTTATATAACAGAAGCTGCATTTTCCAATACTGTCCACTAGATGGCAAGATTGATCACTTTTTTTTTTGTTCACATTTATTCATTTTTCTCCGTGGTGGTGGTGTGGTGTGAGCATGTGCTGTGGTAGGTATGTGCAGGTCAGAAGACAGTGTGAAAGGTGAAAGAGTCAGTTCTCTTCTTCCACTGTGTGGGTCCCGGGGACCAGACTTAGGCCCAGGGAGCAAGGGTCGCTACCCACTGAGCTATGTTACTGGCCCCATGGTCACAGGTTAAAGATGGCTTGTTTTTACCTTTTCTGCAGTTCCCCTTAACACTTATTGGATACTTTTGAAATTCAATTTGTAGAGATAAAACTCATGTGACACAACTAGTTTATATGAGAAAGATAGGGAATAAAGTCCAAATAAAGCCTGAAAAGCACTGAGAAGGTACTGAGTTTTCTTCACTTACTGCTTTGTGGTCTACTAGACCATGTAGGTAACTAAAGGCCAGGCGCCTTCCAGGAGGGATCAGGTTAGTTCTCATGAGCACAGCTTGTGCTCGTGTGTGCGCAACATGTGTATCGCGTCACAGTTTCTCTATACAAGTGTATTCTCTGTCCTTCCATGCTCCTGTCTTTAGTAAATATCACTCGGAAATATTGGAAGGTTTGTGTGTCCTGAAGGCATTGTTTTGTGATGGGACTGAACTTAGAGTCTAACATACAGCCAGGAAGTGTTCTAGCTGTATTTGTAGCTCTTAAACGCATTTTCCCTAATATATTTTCAATTATGCTTATTAGTATGTGTCCCATTGTTAAACCGAAGGTTATCTGTGTATATAGACTTGGAGAGAGTTGGGTGACGAGGGCTGGGGGCTGAGAGGTTAAGCTCACTGGCTGGTGTTCTATAGAATCTAGGTTCAATTCCTACACTACAGCTGTAACTCCAGCGCTGTGGGCTCGGATACCTTCTTCTGGCCTCCACAGGACCCAGGCGTGTGCATGGTGCACAGACAGTTCATGCCAGCAGAACACCCATACACATAAAATAAAGTTTAAAAAAGTAAAAGTTTTGTTCCTTTTCTTAAGCTGGACAGGCACATGAATGTTTACTTAACTGTTAATTCACATCTTACATATACAAATTCAAATACATTTACATACACATATGCAAATACATGCTGTGTGTGTGTGTGTGTAATTTGAGTATGTGTTTCCATTGGACAAATGGACTTCTCCAGCTATTGGCCACTTTGTCTCTATTAGCCTCTCTGTCTTGAACTTCTGCTCTAACTATGGGATCTTTTTTAAGACAGGGTTTCTCTGTATAGTCCTGGTTGTCCTAGACTTGCTTTGTAGACCAGGCTGGCCTTGAACTCACAGAGATCCACCTGCCTCTGCCTCCCAAGTGCTAGAATTACAGACATGTGACACCACACCCAGCTCAATGGGAGCTCTTAACATGTCTTGGAGTAGGAGAAACTCTCACTGTTGACTGTCATCCAAAGAACTTTTGAATATATATTTCAAAGAAGCATTGCTATAGTTATTGGTAGGGTGTGTTATAGTTCTTTGTTCTTGGAGTTAAAAGGTATCTCTGAACTAGCCTGGTGACCTAACTATGATAGGTTTCCCTTCTAGAAGAAATGCACTGAGTTCCCAATAGTTGTATGGAGGGAAAACCTTGCTCTTTTTTAAAGTAGAAGACCATGGAGCACTGGCTCACATTGTATCGCCAGTTCAAAGTGTAAGGTCTTTACAACCTGGGCTTCAGGGTTAGGTCTGCGATAGCAGTGACACTAAGGTGTTGAAACGCAGAAATTTGAAGGCAGTAGCTCATAGAGTCATAGCCAGTAGAAAAGCATTCCAAATGACATTTCATCAGGATCATTCACATAGTATAATAATCATACTGTAACAGAGATGTCAGGGAGCTCTGAGGAACAATGTCACTGGATTCTGAGGATATTTTAGGTGTTATCTTGAGGTCCCAAGACCTTGTGAAAACAAGCGGGCAGCTAGTAGCCAGAAAACAGGTTGCTGGACAGGCTGCTCACCTTTGTCTCTCTGGGCCTGAATTCCAAACTGATAGCTTACTCTGAGCAGAAGTCACCTAACAGAATATTTACAATTGTAGTTAACTGTTTAACTTAACCACTTGCTGGTTATGGTAAAGTTAGGGCTCGCTGCAAGTTCATATGTTTTCTATTACTGCCATCTTTCCTCATAATTAAATGTTAAGATTTTCTAATCCTTTCATTGTCACAGAAGAATAATGCAAACCTGAAGTCATTAAAGCCTGACAAATCTGACTCAGAGGTAAGCTCTTTGGTTGTGTAACAGTCTCACATCAGTAATGACAGTCATGAAATCTTCCTTCCAAGGACAGAGCTGTGATTAAAATGTGTTTGTAGGAGCAAGCCAAGATCGCAAAGCTCGGGCTGAAGCTGGGTTTGCTCACCTCTGATGCTGACTGTGAGATCGAGAAGTGGGAGGACCAAGAGAATGAGATCGTTCAGCACGGACGGAACATGTCCAGGATGGCTTATTCTTTATATTTATTTACTAGGTAGGTCATGCAGTGACATTTTGATCTGTTTGTTTGCTTATTCAGGTTTTTCTGAGTCAGGGTCTCATACCACAGCCCAGGCTGGGCTGGAACTTGCAGCAATTCCTGTCTCAGGCTCCTGAGTACTAGGACTATAGGCCTGAATCATAAATAAATAAATCTTAAAAGTTAAGAAAAGATTGGAAAGTGAGAAACAACTCCATGGAGTCACAGAGGCTAGCTGAAGCTCTTCGGGCTGGGATATGGTTTTGGGGTGAAAACACTAAGGTTCAGGAAAACAGAATTCCTGTAATGCGTGACTGTTTAATACCCTGTTCACTGCTGCCTGTGTCCAGAATGTAAGTATCTCCTTGTGGTCGAAGTGCAAGTTGTTATTTTACCACAGTTTCTGCATGTTCCTTCGACAGTCTCCTCCCTTACGCCCTGAGGGGTATCAGCCTCATCCAGGTACTCCTGGCAAGCCCGATTGCTGGCCTTCAGTCCTGAGGAGATCTGTAGTTTTCTCAGGCATTTTTATAGCCCTTCCTCAGGCTACTGCTTGAAACCATCGTAATCACTTATAGAATGTATTAATGATTGTTTCTACAGAACAATTCATATTTCTTCATGAAATATTTAAGATATTGTAGTGCTTTTTCAAGTTTTTTTTCCCCCCCAAATTGTGAGTTCTTTTTAACTTTCGGTCTAATTTTGTGTCATGGCCCCAGTGGCTGCTCTCAGCATCCATCAGAGAACAGGAAGGATTAACTTGCACCTCCCGGCTGTTGAGTGTAGGAGCTGCTGCTGCTGAGTGCGCCTCCCTGATTTGTGCCGAGACCATTGCTCCTCTTACGCATCCTGCTGGTTGCTTTGTTGGAATTTACCTTTCATTTTTCAGAGTTTGTTATTCTTGGAACCATTTAAACTCCTGAATAAAACTGGTCAACACAAGTACTATTATGATGATTTTCTACATTTCCAACTTGCATTTAATGTATGCCTTATTGAAGCTGAAACTGAGTTCCTGTCAAGGCTGAAATTAAAGTTGAAGATTTACTGACTTTGGGTTTGATCTTTTTTTTTAATTCCATGAGAAATGCATTTTTTGAGACATATTATCAGACTTTATATATTTACTCATGAATCAAAATAAAAACAGATTGAAAAAGACAAAGAACACTAATTAACTAGCCAGTTTCAGTTTTCTTTGCATTATGAAATTAACATATATCTATATATATTTTTCCGAGTCAGGGTTTCTCTGTGTAGCCCTGGCTATCCTAGTACTCCTCTGTAGACCAGGCTGGGCTGAAATTCAGAGATCTGCCTGCCTCTGCCTCCCAGGTGATGGGACCACAGGTGTGTCCCACTGCCCCAGAAACATATCTAATTTTAACTTAGGAAGGAATAGTGAAAGTTGTTTTAAGAATAATGTCACAATATTATCAGCATTCATATTATTCTTTAAATTTTGAGTTCTGCTAATATACAGACTGCTCTAAAACTTTGTTCTATAAACTAACTTCCAGGTTTGTGCTTATCTTAATAACTCGTTCTGTTTTAGAGGAGAGGGGCCACTGAAGACTTCCCAGGACTTAATTCACTTCCTAGAGGTATGTTTCACTTTCACAAGTACTCAGAGAGTTAAGGTCCCATAGGATAAAAAGAGAAAGCTGATAGAGGGTGGTCAGAAAGACTTCTCTAAGGTGCATTACTGAGTAGGTGAGAGTTAGGGGGGTATGTTGGGTAAGGGCATTTCAGAAGCAGAACAAGCACAATGTCTGTGATGCTAGATGCACCTTGAAGAGTTGGGAGCCTGTGGATGACGTGCTGAGCCACAGAGAAGTGGTAGGCACAGCCTCTCTGCAGAACCTTAATGTTCTTTGTTTCCAAGTGTGGTAGTAGTGGGCCCACTCAGCGTTGAGAGGCGGTGGCAATATAACCTTCTAAAAGGTTATATAATTTTACAATCTATTTACTTTATATCCCAATTGTAGCCCCTTCATCTCCTCCCTGTCACCCTCCCGAGGCTATCAAGTCTCATCAGGACTTCCTGTATCCTCTTCCTTTGTTGCCTGGCAAGGTTGCCTCGCCAGAGGGATGTGACCAAAGAGCAGTCCATTTCAGAGACAGCCCCTGTTCACCTTACTAGGAACCCACAGGGGGCTGAGCTGCCTGTAGGCTACATCTGAGCAGGGGGTCTATAAATTGTAAAATGCAAGGTAAACAGACAAAATCTGAAAATTGCAACAAATTATAACAGCCTGGATTGGTCATCTCAAATAACTGTTGTGGAATTTGTGTGGAGGCAAATTTAGTTTTGGTTAGGTGGAAGCAGCAGAATTCTAACCTGACCTCATTTCCCAGGATTCCTGAGTCTTTTATACTTGAGGATTCAAAAACTAATGCCTTACTTATTTCTTGACAATTTTATAGATGTACATAATATATTTGACTTTATCCACCACCAGCCTTGCATCTTTTCTCTTAGCCCAATTCTCCTCCCTCTGTAACTTGCCTTTTCTTCTTAAGTCATGCCTCCCTCCTCTCATTTTTATTTTTAATAACTGTTTAACTGGGGTTGCTTATTTGTGTACAGGGAGAGGTTATTTACTGAGTCATGGGTAAGTTACCAGTGGCTACACTCTGAAGAAAAATGACTCGTCTCTGTTATTGGCGATCTTAAAAAGTGAGCTGAGGATCCCTTCAGAAAGGAACTGACAGTTTTGACTGGGGATCCCAGGTCTGTGTGGCTCTCCAGAGTAACTGGAGGTCTTTAGGTGTAGAAGAGCCTCTCTGAAGATTTTGTCTTAGGTCTGGAAGAATGTCTTGATTCCAGCTGAACCCTTGTGTTTCCTGTGATACAATGAAAATGTTTTGGAGATCTGTGACTGATTCTTAATGTCTGGGTTATTTTCCAACTATGTGAAATAACTGAGAATATTTGTTTACCAACCACCCAGAAAACATTGATCTAAAATAATGATGTTTTCCTTCTTCTCCAGGTTTTTGCTGCAGAGGGTTTAAAGCTTACTTCAAGTGTCCAGTCATTTTCAAAACAGGTAATACATGTCTCCCTGTCCTTGCTAGTGATTTCACATGCCCACACTGGGAGTAGATTACTAATACACAAATGTATGTAAGACATAGGCTAGGAGCAAACTCAGAGAATATTCTGTTATGTTATCCTGCTTTTTGTTATTCTGTTGCACTGTGTACATTTTTGTGTGATTATATTCCTTGGGGGTAGGGTGGAAGACCTTGTCTAGTTCACACTAAGTCCTGGATTCTGCCTGCAGCACCACGAAAGACAAAACATAACAAACACTTATGATTTGTGGAAATTGTACATTGATTAAAACAAGCACTATTTCATGATGATATTCTATGAGATTTTGGTAATCTCATATTTTTATATTGAAAAAAAAAATAGAAAACAAAACCAAGCACTAAGGCGGGAAAAAGATAGATGCTACTAGGTGTAGTGGTACTCAGGAGACCAAAACAGGTGGGTCTCTATGCGTTTGAGGCCGGCCAGGTCGACATAGTGAGTACCAGGCCAGCCAGATCTACACATGAGTTGCTTTCAAAAACAAAAACAAAAAAACTGTATAAAAGATGGAGTTTTGTTGCAGTTGTAACAACTTCCTAAATTACATTTCAGCTAAAAGATGATGACAAACTTATGCTTCTCCTGGAAATAAACAAGCTAATTCCTCTATGCCACCAGCTTCAGACAATTACTAAGACATCTTTGCAGAGTAAAGTGTTTCTAAAGGTAAAGGCGGGTGAGTTATCTGGGAAAACACTAGAGAATGTTTCATAGACTATCAGGCTAGCTCTAGCCCTTTGTGCTAAAGTGTAGTCTGTTTCCTTGTTTCATGCCTGTCTGACTGCTCTATGACTGACCCCAGGGAGTAGCAGGTCACCAACAACTAGATTTGAGGCTGAACATTAGTTCCTAGCTACTTTAGAGTTCCTCACTTGGAGTCTTCTCTGTGGTTAAATGCCTTGGAGTCAAGGCTCCTGTAAATATAACTAGGGAATTTGGGTGGAGTGTAAGGAATTTCCCAGTAAGGTGTACATTGTCAATGGATGGAGCATTTTGAGAAGCTCATGCTCAGCCTGAAGTACAACAGCTGCTGTTCCACCCTTCTTCCTGGGGTCCAGGGAAGAGGCATGAGACCAGGCAGCCAGCGCCATCTTCCTCGTTCTGGAGCCTTAAGTCAGCACTGCTACCCTCACCCATACCTTTCAGATTTCTTAGATTTCTATGATGGAGAAACTCAACCATTGTAAAACCAAGTAGATGATAACGTTTTTTGAAGTACTGCTGTTAGAATGACACACATGCTTTGTTACCATAGGTTGACAAGTGTATTACAAAGATAAGATCCATGATGGTTCTCGTGGTCCAGCTCCTCTCACTTTGCTCTAAGCTGCTGAAGAAGGTGAGATTGCTTTTCTGTATTCAACTTTATTAACTTAAATGAAAATGACCATGTGCACTATTCACTTTACAGCTTATTTTCAGAGCACAGCAGAAGCTAATTGCCTTAACTTTTCCTTTCAGGTGGAAAATAACAGATGGGTCTCATCGACAAATAAAGATATCATGGATGGTAAAACTTGAGCAGCCTGGAGATCATCTCTGGAATATCATGTTACAGCTGACATTTTAAAGAAGCAAACAATCCTTTGTACTTTCAGAAATTCATCAGTTTTTTTTAAGAAGAATGCTGAAATCTTTTTTTTTTTTTTTTTTTTCTCATCTTCAGATTAGAAAGCTTACCGACAGTCATATTGCTATGGCAGTTGCTAAGATTCTAATGGCAGTGCAATTTGAAAATAGACACTGTGCTCAGGGATTCAGTGCATACCAAATATCCCAACTGTCTTAATGATGGCTGAATCCCAAAGAAGCAATTGCAAATACACTCCCCTTTGGCACCCTTAACTGTTTTTTAAGCTGACTGTATCCAACACTAATTTCAGCAGAAAAATACACAGTGGCCTGGTTGAATGCAGTTTTTCTTAGACCTGTGGACTCTTCAATTCTTGTTGAAGCAGGTTATCCTTCCATATGCCTGGTCATAGAGCATCTCTGCTAGCTGCTGCTTCTAACAAGCATCTCACTCGTAAGGTTGTTAGGCTGCAACTGTCCCTTCCCTACTTCAGGAAGGAAAACAATAGGAGTTCTTGAAAGAACCCTGGAGCAACTGCAGAAGAGGAAATGGCTTTTTATTCCAGCTGTAGTGTGCATAGCTAACCTGGTAGTCCTGAATAGTGGATGGAATCCTATTTCTTACTGGGTTAAAAAACAAAGTTTTGAACTATCTTTCTCAGTATTGATGGAATGCAAGGTGCAGGAGACAGAACATTGGAACCAAGAGGCTGTTTTAAATTTCTAATACTTATGCACTGTATTTTATGTGGCATTGGAAAGCTTATTATAAAATAAATATTTTTAGCCTTTTTAACTTTATGGTTTAAAGCTTTTCTTCGTCTGGGGAAATGCCTGTGTGTGTAACCTATCTGCTGTATTGCAAAGCAAGTAAGAGGTTGCCCAAGCCATCCAGCTGATCCGCTGTACTGCAGAGCACAAGGGCTGAGTGAAGGAGCATGCACAACATAGAAATCTCATCTCTTTAGCTATCATCACAGACAACAACTTAACCAGTCTTTCAAACGACTAATCTTGCAGGTGGCTGATATGGGGAATGATTGAATGGGCAATAGGCAGTATTGTTACAAATTCGTATGAGTGAAAATTCTGTGATTTCTTTTTAAACTGAGAAGCACTGGATTCTCAGTGTAAATATTTTAGTAATAAAGTAAATCCCTTAATAAAACTGTTAAGAACTATCAGGTACAATAGCATTATTGGCAACAATAGCATTATCTTTGACAACAAAATAGTGTTTACTGAGTAGTATTAAACATCAGGAGATAGTGTACACTTCAATAAAAACTGTATATTCGATAACTGAATTCATACTGACTGGCTTAATTTTGATCCATTAACAAAATTTGAGGAGACACATACTGATCAGTGATAAAATTAAAAAGTGCCTGTGCAACCTGTACTACTTTATGTGTCTGTATTTTAAAGTACTTCTAGCATAGTGATAGTTTGTGAAACATTCTCTTAACTTGCAATAAAACTAGTGGAGAAAGACACAACCTGTGAAACAGGTATGAACTTTGAGCTTGAGAATCTGAGAATCCTTTCTGCTGCTCAAAGTGAGGATCTGCTGCTGTGAGCCTAATTTTCAGCCCAGCATGTTCCCTGTAGATAACAAGTCACAGATTTGTCAAGACTGATGGTATAATTAAGGGATTGTCATGCTGGCACTCGGATTATAAGAAGTTTGTCTTACGAACTAAACATATTTAGTCTTTTTTTTTTTTAACCTAAGAATATTTACAAAATACCTTTACACATCTGGAAATGGAACAAAGTTGCCAAGGGAGTTAAGGAAATAGGGTAACAAGACATCAACAGCATAAAAGGACAGAAGAACTTACAAAACAGGTTTTCATGTACGTAAAACTATTTTATTTAAGAGAAACTCAGTTTTGATCCCATCCTAGTTATAGGGAGCTCCTCTCAGTAAACTCTGCCTGGCTGCACTTCTATTGTCTCATTAAAAACAGGGCAATGGCAGTCATTACATGTTACAACCTTAACACGACTTCATGGTTTGAAGCCTTCATTTATAGTCTTCAGTGTCTGTGCCTAATCTAAAACCACAACTTCATTGCTATTTTTTTTCTAGCTTAGATAATGTAAAAATCTTGTTCTGCTCTAAGATACCTCAAATTAGCTGTCACTAAAAGTGTGCAAGATGGAGTCACTACCATGCATTTGTAGAGCCAGCTTAACACTGAAGCATGGTGGTTCTCCCATTTGCCCTTGTATGTTTCAAACCTTTTCTATGTAGAGTCGAAGGCAGACTCCACATTCCCGCCTCTTCCCAGCAACCCGGAGGGAAAGAAGCAATTCCTCTGGAAGTAAAGACCCAAATAAACTCTTTGATGTTGCTTTTGGTAATGGTATTTTACCACAGCAACTGAAAAGTAACTAATATACCTTGAAAGCACAAAGACCTGAGTTTGGGTTTCCAGGCTTATATAAAAACTGGGTACAGTGGTGTACCCTTCAAATACCAGCCTTGCAAGATAGGAAGCAGAGAAGACAGATCCATCCCTGGAAGTTCATGAGCCATCTGGCAAAGTTCCAAGCCATGAGAAACTGTCCTTGTCAAAAGGTACAAGAGCACTAAGGTGTGTTCTGCTGTACATATGCAAGCGAACACCCACAATTACACTTCCTAACACACAAAGCAAGTACCTACGCAAGGCAGAACTGAGAGGCTGAATACAAATGGGGACCAAGGCTTGTGATGTTAAGACAAAGGGGGGCAATAGGTTAGGTGAAGGACGAGGTTTTTCCTGTGCCTGGTTATGAGGAATGCTCATACATACTGGCTCTCTTCAGTGCAGCTGACAGTTTAGGCCAGGAAGGGTGAGGATCCTGTGCCATCTCTCCATCTCAAAGCTCATTATGTAGTTGTTGTGGCATTATTGCGTTTTACCACAACCTCTTCATACTGTTGCTGTGTTAGTAACCCTTCTGTTACGCTTTTACTTTCTTCAAATTTGGGTAATACTACTGCAATGTAGCCTTCAGTGGATGGCTGGGGAAGAAAACAGAACATTTAGTACTGTCATCTGATTTCTAAAAGGTATGTGAACAGGATTATGCCTTTCCTACCTCTTTTTTACCTTTTCTTGAAGAAGAGATGGCTGATGAAGAATATTTTCATTAACTTCCATCAATCGACCTCTAACACAGCTAGATATGGTATATTCTTCTCCATCGGAGCAGTAAATCTTACACAGAGGTGAAAGCTCTGTTAGAAACTGGGCCCCCTGTGTATAATGAGAAGAAAAAAGCAAATTAATTGTGTATTTCCATTTTCCTGATAGGTGGCCCTTACCATTAAAACAGAATCTAGTCTTGGAATTGGTTTTTTACAGAAAAGTGATTTAAGTATATAAAACCTCTCATGTACTTTAACACAATAACCTACTATGTGCTAGGTACCATCTTATAATAATGGGTAGTTTAGTTACAGGATAAAAATGTATTTTTTTTTCAATTGCAAATAAGAAACATATATATGGCCAGGTATAAAGATTTCAACCTATAGAAAAATTCACTGAAAGCAATATTATAAAACTCAATATGATACAAGGCAGCAATATCCTACAAAGTTAGTTTCATTAATATTCCTATCTTCTGCTGAGTGTGGTGGTGTACACTTTTAATCTCTGTGCCCAGAAGACATAGTCAGGTGAGTCTCAGTTTGAGGCTAGCTTGGTGTATACATCAAAGGCCAGACTAACCAGAGCTACACAGTAAAACCCTGTTTCAAAAAAAAAAAAACCAAAAAAAACAAAGCCTAAAAATCTCTAAAAGATCCCTATCTTTTATATTAGAAATTGATAGGTGAAGGAACTTCTTTAGAGGGTCAACCACTGAAACTTTCTGAAGAAGGAGTATTTTTCTAATTAAAAGACAAAACTAGTGAGATGGGGAGACAGCTCACAGGGTAAGATTGTTACCCTGCTCTTGAAGAGGACCACCCAGGTTTAGTTCCCGGTCCCACATGGTAGCTCCCAACTACCTGTAAATTCAGTTTCTAGGGGATTTGACAAGTTCTGCCTACCTCTCTGCAGGTTCCTGCACATGTCTTATACATATATATGTATATATGTATATATATGTGTATATATATATATATATAAATTGAAAACAAACATGTTTATTTAAATAAACCTACAAAACTCACCAAAATGCATGCCTGTTATTAGTACCACATTTTAATACACTTATGGACAGCAGGTATAGTCATTGTTTCAGATATTCTGGGAGATGGGTAAATCAAGGGTGGTCTGGTGAATTGAGTGAGAGGATGTTTCATGCTCTGCCGTCTTTTTTTCCTTTTCAGGTTTTTAAAGACAGGGTTTCTCTGTGTGGCCTTAAACTCAGAGATCCACCTGCCTCTGACTCCCAAGGGCATGCACCACCACTACTACTACCCAGCTATACCACACTCTTTAAAAAAAACTATTTTCCCGTCGTGAACACATTAAGTTGGAACAAGACTGTTGTTATTTTTGAAAGTTCTGTCGCCTGGTGTGCACACTATATAGCCCCAGATGGTCTCACACTTGCAATTGTGCTATCTCAGCTACCCAAGAGCTCGGGTTACAGGCAAAGGCCCATCTTCCATTTCAACCCTTTGGGGATAAGAAGAATGGGATTACAGAACCTATTGATAGATGCTATACTTCCTTTTTGGGGGTGGGGAGGACGTGTTTGTTTTGTTTTGTTTTTATTACTGAAAACTCAAACTGAACTGCCAGAAAAAGTCTTCTTATAGCTGACTGGATCCATCGTAGCATGAATATAGAAAATCTCAATAGAAAGGGAAAAAAAAAAATCACAGAATCACAGGAACATACCCGCTTAAATTTTCCAGATACTTTGTTCTGAAGTCTGCTACAGTTGGTACTGATCTGATAAGAAATACTTTTAATAGTTTTGCCACTTTGAAGAACAGGATGAGATCCTGCCAGTGTGATGACACATATTCTATAAGGAGGAAAAAAAAAAAAAGTCAAACCTATGTTGCCTGATGGCTGGAGATTTCTTTCTATTTCTATTGAGAAATAACTATCCAAACTGACTTTCATTTAGCCCAATTCTCATCTCCTTCTCTTGGCTACCATTGGAGCCTAAGTGCAGGATGGGGAGCATAAAAGAAGAGGAGAAAACAGGATTGGAACTCTGCCCCAGGAAGGGGAAGGGTAGCACTAGTCACCCCGGGGGCAGCAGAGAAGCATGGCAAGACTACACAGGAGATGACACAAGGGGCCATTCCACAGGTTCTGGCAGTTCAGCGGCTGGTGCAGGCTGGCTACGCGTAAATGACTGGCCACCACACCCCTGCAACACCATTTCAACTCAGTAGAAGACAAGCTCATGACTACTCACACCCAACCTACCACTACGTCAGGCCAACTACCTGAAGGAAAGTGCTGATAATTTAAAATCTCTGATTGGCTTACCGGTTGGAGTGCTGAAGTACGCAGTGGTCCTCACAGGGTTTTCCTCTAACATCTAGGGAATAAATGAGTTGCTAGTTGTTGAACGGATATTTCCTATTCCCATGTGATTACCTTCTTTGGTTCATGGAGATAGCTCACGGTGAAGCTGGGACTCATGCTGATCACTGCTCCAAGTCAATAAAGGCTCTCAAGTGTTTAAGTGGCCTAATCCTGACAGAACCGTTTATGCAGGTAAAGTCATTAACTCCTCCATCTTGTCACTTTTGGAATGAGTACACACAATATTTCTGTTCGAGAAACACTATGATAAGCACCACATTGCTTACATTACGTTGTTGTT